CGGGCCGCGTGGGTGAAAGCCACGAATCCTAACCACTAGACCACATGGGATCACAACAGAAACGAATTCGAAAGCAGGTATGTGGCATGTGAAAGTGGTTGTAAAAAGTTGGGGATGAAACTCGAAATGACATTTCGAAACAAAATTTTAAAATTTTCTTTGCTTTGCTTGGAATTTTTACAAAAAATCAAGACTTCGAAATAAAAAAATGGAGAGAAAAGAATGGTCAATAAAAGCTAATGTCCGAATAGCTAAAAATCGAAGATTTTGGTCAGCATTTTTCTTTGTCTTTGATTTCTTTGGCCAATAAAAAAGGCAAAAATTGATGATTTCTTGGCTTATGAACGCTTTCAATTTCCTTTTTCAAAAATCTTCGGCCATTCAAGGCTTATAAATGCAAGTTAAAACTTTTTTATTCAATGCTTTAGTTTCTTATCAGCTTTATTTCTCACAAAAAATCCGAGAAAAAACGAGTGGAAGCCGGGCCCGGAAGAGCCAAAAATGAACGCACCCCGGGGTCTTTCGAAATGACCTTCATGCGACGCACTTCACCCTCTCTCTCGCCGGTTTTCGTGCGCGGTCCTGTGGCCTAATGGATAAGGCGTCGGTCTCCTAAACCGAAGATTGTGGGTTCGAGTCCCATCAGGATCAATTCCTTTTTTTGCAATTTTAAAAATGAAAGTTTTGCATCAATAAATAAAAAATGCTTTTGTGATACTTTTTGTAGGCTGTTCTTTGAAAATAATGTTGTTTTGAGGTGGGAAAACGTAAAAATCCGTCATATTTTTTGCGTTTTTTGCGTAACGCTTTGATGATTTTGAATGAGAACCGATAGCCGAAGGGGAAATGACTGTGTTGCGATTCGTAATAAAAAATAAGTCATCAAGCCGTGTTTTTTGGTAAGTTCCTCTCTTTATTACCTATACAAAAGCTATTAGAATCCACATTTTTTTTGTAAATTTCATGAAAATCTTGATTTTCGAATAATTTCTGCCCAAAATGTTTTTGTCATAGCGACTAAATCGTCATAAAGTCATTGCCTTCTGCAGCTTCATTCTCAAAAATAGGTCATTCTCGTTATTCGACAGAAAAAGAACCTGCTGTTTTCCAGAAGCGGCTCTTTTTTGGTTGAATTGTTACTTGATAGGCGTTTAAATCCCCTTTTTTCCATCCTTCAGCTCAATTTTGCGAGCCGGTTTCGAGAAGATGATTCGTATTTTACCCTATTTTCTATACGTTTTTCTTCTTTTACAAAAAAAAGTTATGATAAATAAATTTGTTGCACTTTTGGCACAAAAGAACAAAAGGGGCGCTAAAAGTGCAAGTGGCTGCGCGGTCCTGTGGCCCAATGGATAAGGCGTCGGTCTCCTAAACCGAAGATTGTGGGTTCGAGTCCCATCAGGATCAATCCTTTTTTGGCGATCTTGGGCATGACCAAAAAATAAGTACTGTGGATCCTAGGTAAAATGCGATTTTTTTACTGAAAATTTTATTTTCCATCAAAAAGGTTAAAAGAAAACTTTTTTCATAAAACCTATATGCAGTGGAAAAAAAGAAGGACGTATTTTACAAATTCGTTTACTTTTTTCCTCCAATTTTTCCTTCCCAACCATGCTGAATTTTCCTAAAAAATTCCCTTGACATTACTCATTTCTCACCTTCCCCTTATAAATCAGTCATTTTTGCAGATCTTTTGACCATCAAAATTGCATTTCCCAATCGGGTTTAGCCCCGCTCCCACCGACTCATCGGTCATTTTGAGGTTACAGTTAGTGGTCACTCGGTTATAAATCGGCTTCCCCTCCTCCTCAGCGCCCACATAATAACCCCGGATGCTTGAAAGTGAAACCCGAAAGTAATTTTTGTTTCATAACCCGACTTCCGCTCGATTTTGTTTTCGTTTTCGGATATAAAACCGTTCAGCGGTCACTACATTACTGAGATTATGAGTGCTCAGAAAACTATAGGGTAATTACTGGATAAAATTTTAAATTTGTTTTTATTTTTTCAGTAATTTGGGGGTGTGGTTGTCATTGTCTTGTACTAGATTTTGTTGTAATCTGGTAAACAACTAATAATAAAAATGGGCAGAATTTATGTTTATACTGTTGTCAGACGTCCTCGAAATCTTTAGCGTTTATTTTGCAAGAACCGGAGGTCTTACGGCCGAAGTTTTAAAAAATTTTGATCTTTTGTAGAGTGTAAAATTTCGAGGTATTTACAATTATTTTTGGCCCTACAATTCGATAAATTAATTGTTTTTGTTTACCCCTTTCCCAACAATTAATGTCGGAATACGATTACAAGTTCAATTCCTCCCCCTCAAAACTCGCTGAGTTCCGGTTTCTGTACAAATTGTCGACTACTTTTTATCTTCTTAAGTAGCCAATAACTCATCTTTCCTCTCCCTTTCATTCATTCGCAGGTAATTTGCGGCTAGAAAAGTGAAATCCCCAAAGTTTACCTAATTTAATGGATGGGGGCGTCCAATCGAAGGGGGATTTGCTTCAGAGCGGTTCTCCTAGTCAGTTTTTGCTCTCTGAAGGTCAGAAGTCATGGTAATTGTAGTGTTTTCTTAGGAGATTTATGATTTTTTGGTAAAGTAGATTGTTCCGAGGGACTTGATTTAACGGGGAATTCAATTTTTCTTGCTCAAAAAACTTATCTTTAATGTTTTTATCGATTGTGTTTACTATGGCAAATATTCTTAGTTTCTAGGGGGAATTGAACCACAGGAAAAAAGTACTATATTTTACGGCCAGACGATATCATATTTCAAATTCAAAAAAGGCAAAATGTTTCTGCAGGAAGTGGGATTCGAACCCACGCATCGATAACGATACTAGAACGCTCTGAACCGCCGTTTCCGACGAAGCTTTTCGCTTGAGTCTAGCGCCTTAGACCACTCGGCCATCCCTGCACGCTTTGTTTAGTTTTCATATCGCCTTTGGGTTCTTTTACACACAGAATAATGGAGTGTGTAACGTTTTGATTTTTGATTTGAAATTCAATGATGTCGAGATTAAAAAGGAGTTTTCTTGCATTACTTATTTGTTGCATTACTTCAACTTTATCATCGAAAATAGTCTAGTGGATAAACGAATCCAAACTGGAGACCTTTATTTGGCATAAAAAAGTATCATAGAAAAAGAGACAAAAAATCATCGAGAAAAGACAGATTTCCGACCATTTTTCGTCCATTTATGACACTTTTTGGTATTAAATTCGGATTTATATTTTGTCCCTCCTTTATCGTTATTATTTTATAGAACAAACCGTGTAAATTATCCAATATCATTTTGCCAAAATTTCTCCCACAATTTCATTCCAAAGTTCATTCGTTCATTGATTACTCTCTAATCCCCCGACTAACACTCCAACTCAACTTTCATCGACTAATTAGCACGATCTGTGATCGCATTTAGTCTTGACATACTAAACTCATTAGCGCATCGCTCCTCAATCAGATTGGAAGTATAAAGCGAACGTGTTGCAATCGGTTTTCCCCCTTCTTTTTGTGGCTTGGAATTTGCGCCCCGCTCCTCTTGATTTCCCCCCTTGCCTCGAGGGGCTTCATCCTGGTTTCTGTAGAAGAATCAGACGTGTTCGGCGCATCCCCCTCCTCACTCACGCTTCCTTCTTGAGCGGCTCGCTCGAAAAAAAAGATTCAAACTTTTTTTTGTTTAGCCATGTCGGTGTTTTTCTTCTTGCGCCCCCTAAGGGGATCGCCACTGGCTATTCTCAGTTCAGCCATTTCCGCTGTGTAGGGGGTGATAAGTGTGGTTGGGGGAATAATTTGGAGCTCCGAACAGGTTGTCTTTACAATGGGACTAATATTTGAACCGGGGATACGGTAGTTTCGTTAACGATAACTTTTTTTTGCGGTCGCTTTGGAGAAAAAATGTTTTTCACTTGAAGATTTGCAAGCCGAGATTTTCGTCGACTTTTGCAAGGTAGCGACTATAGGAAATGAAGAGAAACGGACAGAGAACATGCGTTTTTCGATTCTTCTTTTTGTATTTGGAGCGAAGAGCTTTCGATTATTACAGCTATGGCATTATCGGGAGGCAAAACAAAATTCCTTTCACACCTCGAAATTCTAAAAAACGCCTCCATCGTCTTTTCTTTAAATGATGATTTCTGCAAACCGCAAGCTAAAAATTTTACATATACCCATTCGAAGATTTTAATCTCAATTTCTTTCAAGTTTCGCCAAATTCTATTATTAAAATCAAGGAACTCTCCGTTTTAAATCCAGACTTTCTTCCCATTCCCTTAAAATCGCACCTGTCTTTCAAACATCATAACGGATTTTCCGGCAGATGTACCATTATGTAACTCCACGGCTTCCCCCCGTACTTCCCACAGTTATTCAAACAATTTTTTGAAACGACGAAACAAGTTTGGCTCAAAAAGAAAAAGCGAAAAAACAGAAGGTCTGTCAGTGAGAAGGGACGATTCCTCCAATCTTATCAAAAGTCGCGCGATTTGGGGGATTTATTTTGTCTGTGAGTGTGTTCGCTGATCAATCGGTTGCGCAATCGGATATGGTTGTGTTTTGAGGTGTAATTAACGACGCAGCGATTAGTATTTAACCCGGATTTCTGTTAGCTTCGTTGTTTTTGTAGATTTTTGAATTTGTTTGTAAGGACTTTTGATGATAACGCATTATAATAAAGATGTTCTGTAGTCGGAATGCAATGTGTCCACTTTTTAAAATTTTACATAGGCACTCTAACAAGGCTGTAAATGAATGTTTGAAAATTTTAGTCATCGCTTTGTAAAGGCAGCCGAGATATTCAACGATCTCTGCAAACGAGTAACTGCGGAGAAAGGCCAGAGTTTTTCAGCCATATCTTTTCGATATGGCTGCCAAATGGCCTGATTTTTTGATATGACTTTTGTACTCATCGATTCTTGATTATTTACCTTCGTAATTCGCGATTTACGCCAATGCTAATAATAAAATTTCTATTCCGAAATTACCTTCCATTTCCAGGATGATCTCATTATTTCTTTTCCTATCCTTCCTCCCTTTTTGTATATGCTCCGACCCATCAGACTCTCCATTCGCAGCTCGCCCGCTGAGGATTCGATTGGTAAATTATGAGAAAAGATATCAAGTAAGGCATGCTCCCACTCCTCCCGAACTTTCTGGGACCACCAATTCTAATGGTCCCTCCATTGAATTAAGTGAAGACGCTCCGAATACGGTGGTATCGAGCCAATCGTATCTTCACAGTATCAGGAAGAGGATTCGGGGAAGTAAGTGGGAAAAATATAAGAGCCATAGTCTGATTTGACATCTACAGCGCTTCATTTTCAGCCAAACTTCATACCGTTTCGACAGCTCTGACTCATTTGTCATCCTCCGAACCATTGGAGGGAATGCGGGAAGTTGATGGATCTAATGAAAACGTCTCAAATACTGCAGAACAAGCAGTCAGGAAACTGTTTAACAACTCCACCACACCCCAACAGCCCAAAAACAACACCGGAAATACTGGAAGAGCGCCTGAAAAGGGATTTATTGTCGAAAACACATCAACAAATCCAAGTCCCGTTGCCAAAACGAGGACGCAGTTTAGCAGAGATTGTAAGGATAAAATTTTTATCATTTTTTCTTTTTTTGTCAACCATTTTTTCCATCCTTGATAGGTATTTCTTCCCAAAAACGTTCGATTTACACGGCTGTTTACGAAAAAGTCTTCCTCCCACTCAACTTCTCTCCAAAGCGAAAAAAGAAAACAGAACCAACGGGAGAAAGGGCTGTGCAGGGATGGCCGAGTGGTCTAAGGCGCTAGACTCAAGCGAAAAGCTTCGTCGGAAACGGCGGTTCAGAGCGTTCTAGTATCGTTATCGATGCGTGGGTTCGAATCCCACTTCCTGCAGAAACTTTTTTTCCTTTTTTGGATGTGAAATATAACATATTATCGACTGGTCGTCAAATCAAGACCAAAAGGGGTTTTTAACTCCCAAGTTCGATTCCGCGGTTTTATTAAAACAAGCTACCATGTTTTACAAGAGCTTTTTCAAGGGTACCAAGCAGAATATCTCTAAAATGACTATGATTTCAGCCCTCCCAGTTGAGAATCCCGAGAGCCTTCCAGAAATTATCCAAGAACCCATCAAAGGCAACCAATCTATGACCGCGATGACAGAACTAGACGTCAAGTCCGATGAGATGCTCCAGAAAACTTTCCGACGAACAACTCTCGCGATGACTGACTACAAAGTGACAACTCCACCCTCAACTGGACTTCACACTCTTCCTGCCGCCACAAACTCTCCAGTATCATCAACAAAGGCACCAGTTTTCACATTGCCGCCTTTGTTTGCTGCTCCAAACTTGGCTTTAACAGATCCGCCAGCTCAAACTCGACAACCCCTGGTTCAGCTGCCAACTGGTGGTAATAATGGGAATGGTGGAGGTAAAACCGTATCTTAGTGATAATTATTGTTAATTTCAGCGCCAGTTCAACATCTGACCCCTCAATTTGACACTCCTTCCAATCTCTCGCCAAGGCAAATTACGGGAAATTCTCAGCAACCTAATCCTCAGCAGATCCCACAGAATCAAGGGCAAACAATTCAACAGCCTCAAGTTCAAGGCGCTGGAAGACCGAATCCACCACCTCCAGCACAATCTTCAACTTCCTCCAGACCCGACTTGGAACAACTTGGATGTGGATTTGACCTGCTCAGCCAGTCCTGTAAAGACGTTTTCGGGCTGGGATGGTGCGCTCAATGCACAGATCTGGGCAACGTATTCCTCCATGATTGCAAGTGCGCAGCGCCAACTGAGCTCGGCCGAACAGCCAATGCATTATTCACCCAGCCACCAACAACCACCCCTTACAATGGCTTGGGGCAACAGTCAGTGCTGCAGCAACAAATACAAGCGCAACAGAACGCATTGGCGAATGCGCAACAAGTTCAACAAGGGCAATTGCCGGGACAAGGGCAACAGGTAAGTATCAATCAAGATCAAATGTTGTATCTTTCACGCGCCAGTTGTTGTATGTCGACTGGTGGTGGTGAAGGTACGGAGTCAGCCAGATGTAGAAGGATAATAAGTATAAATTTATTATCAGATAAAAGCAACAATACGTAGCATAACACCAAACATTCACTGAATGAAAATAACAACTGAGATTCTGTTTCTCTTCCAAGCTTCGAGAAGCTTCGAATGAAACGGAATGCCAATACAGTAATCGTAGCTCCTGTTTCGGGACACAACATCAAATTCCATCTTATTAATTCATCTAAAAACCGATCGCATCCCCCATAAAACTGATTATTGCAGGTGCCCGGTCCTCAGCAGATCTCCACCACCCAACATCTCGTCCAACAGCCCTCTCCTCCCCAATTCCAACAACAATTCCCCCCTCCACAACTCCAGCAACAACTCCCACAACAGCCCGTCATCCCGCAGATTCCACAGCCTCAGGCGTTGCAGGGTTTCGTCCAACAACCCACATGGTCCCTCTAAGAAGAATCTCACTCCAATTACCGTAATCCCACACACATTTCGGTGAAAATTTCTTAAAATTTTCTTATCAGATACGAAAAATGGATCGTATCTTTTGTAAATTTACATTCCACCAACGATTTATTCACATGCAAAATGTGCAATTTACGCAGTTTTACAATTTCTTATCGAAATCTTGGACTAAAATTATATTATAATTGCATTGTTGTCTAAAATTTCCAGTGTAAATTCCGTCTCGATGATCTGTAAATGTCTGTCAATTGATATCATTGAGAATTTAACTAGTATTACAGCTGTAATCACCGTCTTTCACTTCTGTTATTACAATTTATTGTTAAAATTAAAAAAAAAATAATTGTTAAAAATGAAATAAGAGGTCGAGTAAAGGTAAATAATCACAAAATCTGGAATGCACTGGGGTTATAAGTCTGTTCATGATATGTTTTTTGAGTTGAATATATCATTTTACATTGTTTGGGTCGTGAAAATCAAAAAAAAGGATAAGATTTGGGAAGATTAGGCAAGAAGACAATGAAAATTCAAAGAAAATACTCTAAATTCTACTAATTAACACATGAAATAACAAGATACAACTTAATACATAGACAAAAATGTCATAAAATTTCACAAAAACATTGTCTTAGGCATCAAAAATCAAAAAAATATGCAAATTCTTTTACAATTAGCCTCCAATAAACTGAAAAATTTAAAAAATAAAAAAAATCTGAATCAAGGTTCATGTCTGTCCTTCTCAGCGTCAAACCAATCAGATCCAATGGACGAGGAAGGCTGTTCATCATCAAAAACTTTGAATAATCTGGGCTCGGAACTGACAGTTGAAGAAGAATCGCGATTGTTTGGTTGTGCGAGACAGGATCGGGGGAAGATTTGGATCTGAAGAAAAATTAATACACTATTCTCAGTCGTATTTTAGGACGTGCTTTTCGGTGCCCGCAAATGGACTTTTCGATGCCCGCAAATTTTCGCGGTTCGCGACCGCAAATTAAATCGAAATCTGCCCGCACTTTTTCTGCCCGCAAATTATAAAAATGTTATGAAACGCCTGGAATATGGATAATTAGTCAAATATTTGTATAAATACGGTGTAATTAATAAATTTACATATGTAAAAGTGCATTTGACAAAAAATTTTTTGAGAAGTGTTTCTAATCCATGATTTCTGGGATAAAATTTCAAATAACGGAATGATACTATGTTTTTGGACAAAGCTGATGAAAATGGAGTCCAAATCGAGTTGTTATAAAGGCTGAACAAAACTTTTTTTTGTCTAAACGAACTTTTCGATGCCCGCAGATCGGAAAATCGGGTCCTCAGGCATTACCAATGTAAAAATCTTCATTGTTATCTTCCATAAGTCACATTATGACACTTTTCACGACCAGTGACACCTATTTTTCAGTAGAAAAGTTCATATTTAAATTTGCGGGCAAAAAAGTTTGAAAACTTTTGGATGCCCGCAAATAAAAAAATGCTCCAAAACCTTTCGTAAGCCACCGTAATGAAAAAATTTTGATTACTACGACAAGATTAGGCACTATGATCATTTTGTGGTAATTTGAGGCCAATTTGTTTGCAGGAAAACGGATTTTTGACAGAAAAAATATTTGCGGGCAAAAAAGTTCTAAAATTTTTTGAATGCCCGCAAATCTGAAAAAAGCTTCTAAATCAATCGAAAGTAGTTGTGATGAAAAAACGAGTTCCGTAAGCCACATTACGACACTTTTTACGGCCAGTGACACCGATTTTTCAGTAGAAAAATCCAAATTAAAATTTGCGGGCAAAAGAAGTTCCAAAAATTTTTGGATGACCGCAAATCAAAAAAGGCTTCCAAATCAACTAAAACTTGTTGCATTGGGAAAAATTAGACTCATAGTGCCATTATGACAAGTTTTATGACCATTAATACCGATCTTTTGGTTGAAATGTTCAAATTTAAATTTGCGGGCAAAAAAAGTTCCAAAAATTTTTGGATGACCGCAAATCAAAAAATTTTTCCAAATCAAGCATTGTGCAAAAAATTTGAAGACTTTCTGAATGCTTCAGTGTCGGAATAAAGCATTAAAAATTCGTGTGATGACCAAAAAAGCGCCCGAAAGTCTCCGCCGAATACACTGCTTTCCGCGTTGACGGAGAAAATTATTTTCACAAGCAAAAAACCGCCCATATTCTTCTTTATTATGCAAAAGAATTTTTTTGGATATCTTGACTGAGCGCTAAGAAATCGACGATTACTTTCCGGGGAATTTCTTGAAACACCCTGTATAACAACTTGTTTGGACTCCATATTCATCAGCTTTGTCCAAAAACATGGTATCATTCCGTTATTTGAAATTTTATCCCAGAAATCATGGATTAGAAACACTTCTCAAAAAATTTTTTGTCAAATGCACTTTTACATATGTAAATTTATTAATTACACCGTATTTATACAAATATTTGACTAATTATCCATATTCCAGGCGTTTCATAACATTTTTATAATTTGCGGGCAGAAAAAGTGCGGGCAGATTTCGATTTAATTTGCGGTCGCGAACCGCGAAAATTTGCGGGCATCGAAAAGTCCATTTGCGGGCGAAAAAAAATTCCTCCTTATTTTTTCATACTTTTTGATACCAAATCGGGTCTTCCTGATCTACTTTTTTTGTATTTTTTGATCCACTAGACTATTTCCACCGATAAATCGGAATTAATGCAAACAAAAACTCCTTTTAATCTCGACATCATTGAATTTCAAATCAAAAATTAATACGTTACACACTGCGTGTAAAAAACCGAAAGGCGATATGAAAACTAAACAAAGCGTGCAGGGATGGCCGAGTGGTCTAAGGCGCTAGACTCAAGCGAAAAGCTTCGTCGGAAACGGCGGTTCAGAGCGTTCTAGTATCGTTATCGATGCGTGGGTTCGAATCCCACTTCCTGCAGAAGTTTTTTGCCTCCTTCGATTTGAATTATGAAATCGACTGGTCGGAAAATACGCAAGTCTAATAATTTTAATCCTGTGGTTCGATTCCGCCTAGAAACTAAGAATGTTTGCGCTTTTAAACACAATCGACCGGTCGTAAAGACATTAAAGATAAGTTTTTTAACAAGAAAATTGAATTTCCCGTTAAATCAAGTCTAGTATCGTTATCGATGCGTAGGTTCGAATCCCACTTCCTGCAGAAATTTTTTGCCTTTTTTGGATTTTAAAATCGACTCAACTGGAAAAAGACATGAGTTTTTTAACTGCCAGGTTCGATTCCCCCTTCGGTTTCAACCCTCTTAGATCAATAAATTTCCTTTTTTTCTAGCCTTATTCCACCTATTACTTATCTCAAAAACAAACCTCATGTTTGACCAAACAATTGTTCATGTCCAATCCCCACAATCGTTGTTCAAACGCGTCCACCGAGATGGCTCTCAACTTCTCGGGGAGTGATTTCCAATACAATCCAGCCGGATTCGCGGCCGATAACGCTCTCAGTCTGTACAATCTGTTCGTATTTGCCTCGAGGGCATAGACCGCGTTGTCAGCAATTGCCAAGTTGGCCAGCTTCACATCTGGGCATGCTTGGGTCCAGTCGGGCCCATTCGAATTCAATCCATATCCATTATCTTGCCGATCAAAGCGGGCCCAGGCTTGGCCGAGAAGGGAGGACAAAATCCAGACGTATTTGCCGGCGGGAGAACAACAAATTATGTCGATATTCTCGGCGGAGGCTGGAGGCGGAACACTCATCCAGTTTGTGAACGAAGCTTTTGAGGATTGGGAGGAGAAAAATATTTTTTGATCTGCTGTGATGGCCCATAAAGAGGCCGAGGAGGCCGCGAAGGAGATGACCGGGGACTCTAAAAAGTTTCAGAGGTAAAATACAATTCAAATAGCCATAAAATATAAGCTTCCTATTTTTTCAGCAATTTCAAAACCATCTCTAAAAATCCATATTTCCAACCCTCATCTCTAGTCATCTAAAGTAATATAAATCGCCTCTAACTCCCTTCCAACTTCTTACCAAGTCCAGCCGTATCCAGTTTGGTCCATTCCGTTCCTCTTGGCGTCAACTGAGCATTAATCCCATCCCGAACATGTACCACTCCACACGAATCCAAGGCATATAATCTATCCCTGGCAGCGGTTAGTGCTGTCACCGTGGAGTCCTCGCCAAAGCCCGGCAAGGACGTCAGATTCCGATGACTGGCCGAGAAGGCAAACAGATCCGAGTTGGGTTGTCCCACAAAGATAAAATCGTTGCTTTCTCCCACGTATCCCGAGGCCGCGATGAACAAAAATGTGTCATGGATGGAGAGCCTGGCGGGGATGGCTTTGTTGAAGATGTTTGCGGTGAGTGGTTGCCGGGAACTGAGGATATACTTGCCGACGTTGATGAAGACCCCGGCGGATGAAATTTTAAGGCGCCATTGGGGGATGGGGAGGAAGGATTTCTTTTGGGATGTGGGCATTAGGTTTGTGGGGGAACAGACCTGGAATTCATAGTGAAAATAATGTAATTCGCCTCAAAATTGTAGATAAAAACACAATTTTTTGCATCATAAATTAATCTATGTGCCATCTAGATCAATCTTTAAAAAATTAGAGGGCATTTAACTTCTAATTTCCGAGCTTCTCCCTACCTGATACCACTTGCCGACTCCAAACGGTTTGTTTTCATCTACTCCATTACACAGCCACAACTCTCCATTAACATCAAGTCCAAATGCGGTCGTTTCGAACAAACAAATACTGACAAAGGTCGACGGTCCAGCCAGAGTGTAACTGCTAAAAGAAAATTCAATTTACAGTTATCAAAAGCAAATTTCCCAAATTATTTTCCAGTCTAATATCAAGTATAACATGCCCACCTATCCTCCACCCAATCCAGTCCCATCGGGCAATGTTTCAAGCCCACTCTGACCACAATACTGCCAGTGCCCTTCCTTAGAGCCCACACCGCCTGCTCCGTGGCTGTTATTTGCTCCAATTCAAAGGGGCATTCAGCCCTGTACAAGATGCCCATCTCTGGCAGGTTCATTTGAACAAACGGTCCTTTGTCCGTCAAGTACCAGGCCGTTCTCTCGGTGAGCGAGACTTCATGGATCTTGCCTTCGTTCGCTTGTTCCAGCCAGTGTTTTGAGTTGGGGCAGAGGGGGTCAACCTTGATCGGAGCATGGGCAATCGACTTCTCCACTCGCCAGAGGAGGGTTCCCGAGTCTGAAAAGATGTGACATTGATTACGGAGGACAAATGGCTAATACGTTCAATACCGAGGCACGGCATTCTGTACTTTTAGGGCAAAACCGATCTCCGCGACTTTTTCTATTTTTTTTTCGGAATGCGCTTGCTTTCTCTCTCCATAACTTGCTTGCCGTTTGAGCAAGAAGGATAAAATTTGGCACGGCAGTAGAGTAAAAAGCCGGCTTTCAGAAAATATAAATATTGTAAGGAACTCGATCGCATAAACTTCGCAATGACGATTGAAAAAAATTCATTCTTAAAACTTCTGCTAAAAATTTTTTAAAATCAAACTCCCATTTTTCAGTTTTTTTTCACTTCAAAAAATCACCTGAAGGGTGTCTGGAAGTCAAAACCATCGTCCCATTAAAAAATGGACCCTTTTCCTCCATCTACCCCAAATATCATCCCTATTTGACCCCTATTTCTTACCATTGACCGCAATTTTTTCGGCCTTATAGCCGATTGGAGTCCAATCTCCCCCTAGCATCGCATTTTCCATGGTCTCGACCATTCGATAGTGCGGTTTCTGTCTTGATTTGGTGCCACAAATCACAATATAATTCCTGGTCACATCAAAATGACCAGAGGTATACGGTAATGGGATGCGATTCCAGACATCCGTGCGTTGATTGGCCAGGCGAGTTATGGTCGGATACTCCGGATTCTGATGGACGCTGATTGAAATCGAGGTGGCTGTGGTCGAAATGTTCGAAAAAGTTGTCACATCCGAATCTGTGGCCGCTTCTTCAGCGATTTCTACTTTCTCGGACTCTGAACTGGTCGATTCTGAGTCCGAATCCAGGTTGGTTGAGAAGGATTCATGTTTATCTTTAGTTTCCTGGTCAGTTATTATGAGAGGAACACTTTCTTCTGCCACTTCTTCCACTCTAATTTCCGGTTCTTCTACCGTAATCTCATCTCCATATCCATGATCAGTGGGGGTCCAGCTGGGCAGGGGGACTGGAGAGGCCAAATCCGGCTTAGAGAGGGAACGTTGAGAGGCCAGAGCTAAAACAATATCCAAAATCAGACTTTTTGGACAACATTTTATATTATCCATGTCAAATAGGCGGCCAAAAATCAAATTTCACTCCTAAATCACCCACCTCCCAAGATGGACTCCAGATTCTCATCACAGAGGCTATTTTGGACACTAGCTGAGGTGCTGGGCTCACAGCTTCTGAAAAAATCTTCTTCTTCATCCTCTTTTCCTTCAGCTTGTTCAATATTAATTGGTCGTGTTATTGTTTTCAATTTCCTTTGCACTTCGACATTTGGCTCTTCAACAGCAATTCCGTGGTCCTCAACAATATCAGCGGGTTCTTCGACTGGGTCTGAGGCTAAAATTTCGATTTTTTATGTTACCCATAACACCATTAAAAAAGATTTCAAAAAATTTTTTTAACTGGTCCTAATTGCTAAAAAAATACTGTAATTGTTATAGAAACCAAAAAAAAATCTATGTAGATCAAAAATATAATAGAATATTAAATTTTTCATATTACCCTACCTTCACTGACAACTTCAACCTCGTTCCAATGCTCCTTGACATCGCTGTTTGCAAAGACCAATCCCCCATTTCCCACGCTGTCCAAGGTGTCTTCTGTACCATTCAATAGTCCATCATCATCACATATTTTACCTTCCTGCCCAATTATATTGTCCTTGGCATTTTCCTGATTCGAATTTTTGCGATTCTCTCTTTCCCTCGCAACTCCCATTTCTGTCCTTCTCTGCGCACTCTTCCTACTGCCTTCACTCTTTTTATCCGATTCGAATTCACTTTCCTCGGTAACTTCCTCGGAATCTGATACTCTGTCGCTTAAATTGAGGTGGAGTTCCTCGGGAATGGGCGCTTTATCTGGACTCACGATGCGTTCGATGCTTTCCAGGACATTCGAAAACATCTGTTTGTTGTTTTCGCTCTGAAAATTCGCTGAAAACTTGACGCAAAACAACAATAATTCTCATACATCAAAACAAAAAGTTTCGAAAATTCTTGTAAATACACATTCAAATCTTTGATAAGCAATGTTGTAAACATAACAAGTAGGTCAAAGATGTTCGATTTCTATCATAAAAATATCAGACATCAGTTAAAATTATGGTCAAAATACCTAATATAAGACTTGGTATACCTACATTAATAAAGTTGTGGAAGGTGCCACTGAACGAGACGGAGAGTGGATTCGGGAGGTTGGGAAGCTGGCTGACAGGCATTTGTTGGTATTCCGGCTTTGTAAACTTTTGAAAAAACTTTTTCGATGACTTCTGGGCTACCGAACTGAAGGCCGACAAAAGAGTGGAATTGGAATTTTGGCCGGTGATTTGATTGTCCGGAGGGGTAAATCCTAGGCGGAGAAGGTGGCGAGTTGACGTCAAGATCATAGTCTCCTCAGTTCGTAGGTCAAAATCCGCCGAGATCACCTCAAATATGAACTATGACCGTTTATATTACACTTACTTCAACATCTTTCAAATTCGGTAATTGTAGACGCAGATCAACGACGTATAGCTGTACCGGAGTGACTAGGCTTTGAATATCGAGTAGCTGGACTCTATGTTGACTGTATTGAAGGATATGAGAGTTTGAGTAAAACTTTGTGACAGCGAATTTCCAATCCGATTTGGTCCAAGTTGCTGGTCTAAAACAATATAATTTGAAGGAAAAAATAAAAATTCATTGTGTCCCACTCCCTCCAGACTTCAAAATTTGACATTTGAAGTAATAAAACACAACATTCCCGGGGTAAAACAATGCGCTTTATCAAAAATTATCTTATTCATGACTAACAAAACTAAACTTACGCAGCTTCTCGCTGTTCTCCTCCAACAAAAACTTCAGGAAGTAGTGCCGACTCAATTGTATTCTTCTCCAACTCAATCGTTTCTAAAACCTTCTTCTCATTCAATGAAAATCGCTTCAATTTTCCATCACTTAGGACCATGGATAATATCCCTTCAAAAAGCTGAACTCCAGTCACTTTCTGACCCATATCATGACGAGAAATATGTGTCGTGATATTATCCTCAAACTGGATCACATCGAAGAACCTTGTTTCCACAGAAATTATGAAATCCGGCTCAAAAGCTAGAAATCTGATGGGGTTGCCATTGTTTTGGATGAAAATTGGTGTGTAGGTATCCTAAAATTGACAAAAAAGAGGATAGAAATTCACTCTACTCCATACCTTATCAAAATCCACTGAAAGCCCCATGATAAGACCGGAAGCGTCGGATGAAAACAAGTATTTTCCATTCTTGCTCCACTCCAACGCTGTTATTGGGTAATATTTATGAAGATCGCTTTGTATTGACTGTTTTAACGAAATTTCAAGGTCAATAAGGGTCCAACGACTTACTTTCTTATCCGCTGAAGGTAATGAGAGTAGAATTAAATTGCCGGAACGGTGTCCGATCGCCAGATATTCATTTTCGTTTTGATGGTACCATTTCTGAACTGTTATCACTTCATCGTAGGTAGTTCGGAGACTAAAAAAAGTACACTTAGTTTAACGACATCATTCAGAGTCATTCTTTCAGGTTTCGATTACTTTTACAAGAAGGAAAAGTAAGAATTCGAGTGGTTAAAGAATTTTAGGTACCAAGTCAAGGAGAATATCAAAAAATCGGTTGTTCCAGAGGAAGGAAATTCCTTTTTCACACCGCCTGCTGTGTTAAGGATGTCTTAAGAATTGCTAATGTATCTAAACATAGAAAAAACACAAATCGGACTTACGGTTTCAACGCCCGTTTGAATCTTCGATTGTAAAGGAATAAAGCGCCACATTCAGACCCGATTGAAACAAAATTCTGTGATAATGAGACGGAACACAACTTCACCTTGATTGTTCCATAGTCAAATGTTGCTGGAACCTAAAAATCACAATGTTTTCCGTCAATTATATTCTCCATGACCTTCTACCGAGGAAATCCCACATTTTTATAAACTCAAAAAAAGTAAAAGTAAACACTGTAATGAAAGTTCAAAGACAGCATAATAAAGCTAATTATAAAACATTTCTCTCAAAACTACGCCGCATTTCAAACAAAACACATTAAACTAAACAAGGAGAAGGTCCTACCTCAGCCAAAGCCCCTAGACAATTATCGACGTAGATCCTTGTCTGTTCTGAACTGTGGATCGATGTAGATGGGCCTTCAGAATCCATTTACAGCGGAACATCACAGAATAAACATTTTTTACAGATTAGATAAAAAAACAAAAATTATTTTCGACAAATCAATAAACTTGAGGACGGAATGTCAAAATTGATTGGGAACTTATTACTGCAAGTTGGATCTGTCGACATTTTTAATTGTAAAATGGCTTGTTACTGATTTTTCCTCTGGTTATCGTCCATTATAGGTGAATTTAACAAGGTTTTCCGGATTTGAGCGCAGAATTTGTTGTCCAGTTAACATAATCGGTATATTTTGATGGAAAACAGTGCAATAATTGATGCCATCTCTTGGTAATGGGTCATTTTCGGCATACTCCTGATCAGAACTTACACAGACTATTTACATTGCATTCTCGAAGAGATATAACTAATTTTAGACCACCTACAGCGGCTAAATTCAATATTAATTTTTTTTTACGTTAATTTTTACACTCATGAAATTTTGATTATAAATCTTTACGCCTTGAAATGCAAATTTATTCAGACATGAAATGTAATGTCCCGTTTTGTATTAGAATATTATCCTCGATAAGGAAATAGGTCAAACTGTTTCTTCAAGCGATCACAGAAAGCCTTGTCCAACGTGCACAAAGTTAGAGCTTCGGTGGCGAGTAGGCCCATCAATACCGATTCTCTCTCATCAAATGGCATCTTGGGGAGACGTTTTATCGTGTCCTAAAACATATCGGATACAATGGGAACAGAAAGTTACAGAAACTTCAAAAAGTTTGTCATAGGTACAAGATGACCAAGGGAGAATTGCTCGAGGCACAAAACTCACATTTTAATTTTTTTTGTGTCATCTTCCTAGGTTTGTGTATGAAAAAACACATTTACCTACGCAAATTAATTTTATTTCCGGTTGATTAGCCCAAAATCTAAGTCGGACTTACCTCAACTTCCTGTTCAATAGGTTTCGTATCTTTTGGTCGCTTTGCAACACAAGGCTCGTAGATGGCAGGGGCTTTTGAGGCCACAGCATCATTCAGACAAGTATCGTACAAAGTCTTGTTCTCAGCAGTTGCCAATGATAACGAAAGAAATAATAAAAGGAAAATTTTGGGAGCTGTCATCGTAGAATTTGGTTGTCGGGAACAAAACTGATGGCTCTTGAATTGCAAATAAATCTCATCATTTTTAAATATGAAATTACATTCAATCGATAGTGTTTGTTTGATTTGATTGTAGAATTTTATTTTTTGGCCTATCACTTACAAACGCTACACTAAAATATCCAAAAATTTATCTGGTTCAGTCTTGACTCTTCAACCAGCATTATCCATTAAATTTTTTTCTTATCATTTAACGTCTTCTGGCCGCACCTTAACCACCATTCCATCCACAAACCCACAGAAATCTGCTGATTATTTGATGTGTTTTCGATTTTGTTTGCCCCACCGTATGATGGCCGCTTTATGGCCAAATTATTTATCAGATCGGAGACTCTGCGATCGGCGAACAATCGTTTTTTGTTTATTTTCCCAAATTGTGTTTACGTGGGTCCGAGAAAAACAAATTATTCATCCGGTCCGGAACACTTTGTCTATAGGCGTGACAAAGAAACAGATATAAAAACAAGGTAAAGTTGAAAAAAAGCCGAGAGTTTTTCAATATGAAGGCCCTGGGTTTGATTGTGTTGGGATGTGTGGTGATTGCGGTCTATGGAAGCTCCAAGTCGTTGAGCAACTTTGGCCAAACTCGCATGTCCAATGGGAAGACGGAGCATCAAAAATGTCAGGGGGATGTAAGTTGAGGTGATATTAATTACAAAGTAAAGCTTATGGTGTTTTAATAACTCGTAAATAATTCTGAATTTCGAGTGATCGTCGCAACCCTAAAACACTTCTTAAAGGGCACCACTATCACTGAATGTGACGGCACCACCCATCCGGGACTGAAAGCCAGCGCCGAATCTTGTCGAACTTGGTGTGGCGGAGAGACCGACTTTGATTTCGCTGATTCCGACAAGGCCAAGAACTCGAGAGGCCGAGCCCAGTCCAGTTTCTCATCTTCAAGAACCAAGGATGGAGTGAGTCAGCATCAGAAGTGTGCTGGAGATGGAAGTACCATCACAGAATGTGACGGAACCCAGCATCCAGGCGGTCGAGCCACCTCGGCCAATTGCCATGTCTGGTGCGATGGTAGTGCGGATTTGTGATTTAGTATTATCAGAGTAAAAAACAGAGGTATTTCAGTTTGAAATGTCATGAAAATAAAATACATTACGTAAAGCTGTATGATAATGACACAACTTTGTGGAATGGTCCCCCGCCGACCCGATTATATCATAAGTAATGCATTCGGCAAATGGGTTTTCATTATGACTGTAAACAAAATCTCCTTTCATTAGTTTTGGAACCGGCTTTTACCGGTTCTTAATTTTCGTTCCCACTGAAGCGTCGCTCTTCCAATGCCTGAGGGAAAATGAAAAGTTATGCAATGATAGATCAATATCTCCAGGAGGCTTTTAGGGGATCTTCAAGGTGTTGACGATGATGATTGAGATCTCACAAAGAACAGGTGTTTGTTGGGTAAATCTTTGTGATGTCATTAAAAAAAATTTAAATTGGAATAAACAAGGTATTTCTGGTGGAAAGTACGTAGATTTGGATGCATAAATTTTAACAAAGTTTGGAGCAAATAGAGGCTAGAGTTTTCTAAAACGTATCCGAGATTGTTGGCATAGGCTTCATCAAAGCCTTACAAATTTTTTAGGCTAATGACTCACGAAATTCCTCCTAGAGTAATGACGAACTAATCCCGTACAAAAAGATCCCTTTTCATGATCATTTATCGTTATTCTTCATAGCGCCTTTTGCATAAGGATTGCCGGTTATACACAGCATGTCCTAGAGTATCTTGAAGCCTCCAAAAATTGATGTTTGTATCATGACAAACACCGGTACAAAATTTGAGACCATTGACTATTAAGTTGCGCCTGGCAGTGCTCTTACAATTGATTCCAGCCCTCAGCAACTTCACTAATTTGCTGACAATTGTGAAGCGTTCTGGATGACTCAACTCTCTCTCTCTCCATTCCACAGAATTGGATGCCATTTTCTCCATCACCTTTCGAGTTTCTCTCATTCCCATTTCTTGCATAAATCACAAAACTCCATAAAAGTACACACTAATTTTATTACCCTCTCCCTCCCTTCCGCATCCGGCTCTGCTCATTGTAAAAGAAGCCCTGCTAATAACCCGTCTCCCCTTACAATTATCTTGCCGTTCCCACACCTCATCCGGATCTGGCGAGGATCCAGTTTGATTATGATCTTCACCTTACTCATTTTCATAAGAAGACGGGTTTTGCGCTTCATTCCGAGAGACAAACAAAGAGGGAACACTCTCTCCCGCCTCCTTTCCCTCCGCGGTGCCGAAGGGTTATATAAACCAGCGCCGGCTAATTCGAATCAAGCGCCAGTATTCCAGTTGTTTTACAGCCATCGGAACCAAGGGCTTGGGGTTTGAATATTCGCTGAGTAATCAGTGCTTTAGGTGGCGGAAAACTCGGTTGTTTTATTGAGATAAAACTTGGACCTAGTTTAGAATGAGCCCTTCGAAGATCTGGCATGGATTTTTAGCCTACGCTTTGAAGAGATTAACAAAATTTAAGGTCGAAGGCTGATTGGGGATAAAATTGTGGGGACATTTTGTAACCACTTCGCTTTCACTGTGCTGTGAAATTTTAGATCCAAGGCTTTCCTAGATTTTCTTCATATTTTATGTGTTAGCTTTGTCCAGGCCAAATTACCATCACTAAATATTTCATTCCTAAATTTTTAGTATAGCCAAGATATTCGACGGCAGAATCACGTCAGAATTTCCAAGTTATTCCTCAAGCTTTTTTGAGTAAAAATCTTATGCCTCAAGCATCAGCAGATGGCTTCTTTTATGATGATATAACCGCAGATCCGATTACAAATCCAAATCGGTTAACGGCAATCGATTACAGTCCTTTGTAATGGTTACAACGCTATTACCTAAAGCCCTGTTATTACATGCTGATGTTCGGCTTGAAGAGGATCTTTTCCTCTTTTCTTTTCACTCACCCGATCCACTTGTAATACCTAATTTGGAGAGAAACGAAATTAAGTGACTGTCGTCGCACTTTCGAGGGTCTTTGCATAACACAAAAGAGGTTTTTCGTTGGGTGATGAGTGTCAGATTCAGCCCCTGGTCTCGAAGTTTTTACCTCCAGCCTTCGACCTTTATATATCCGGGAATTACCGCGACATCTCCTCTTGTTATTTACTGAATTTTCTCTGATTTAGTCATGGATTGGGGACTCAAGGCTACAGTCACTTCTGCTGCCTCTTTGGCCGGCATCGCCCTCCTCTCATTGGCCATTGGAATGCCAATGTTGATGAACGACATTGCTATGCTCGAGATGGAGGCTTCCCTGGAGCATCAAGTTTACATGGATATGTCCAACCAGATGTGGAGTGAGCTTATGGAGCAGGACAAGGTGATTCGTCATGCTCGTGCCGCTGCTCCAGTCGTTCAAAGAGACAGACGTCAATGTAAGTTGATTTGTCATTTTTAAGAAGTGTAGTGTCCTCTTGTATTCAACTAATAATCTTTTCAATAGGCACTAACCTAATATATTTTCCATTCCAGATGATGCTGCCGCCTCCAGCGGATCCAGCGCCCAGCAAAAGCCCAACAACTGCCCAGCCGGACCTAAGGGTCCCCCTGGACCGAAGGGAGAAGATGGTATGCCCGGCACGGACGGTCTCGCCGGTCAACCCGGATTGGGCGTCGGCCTCGACGACAACCCATACGGAGCCCCACAGTCCAGCTCCTGCCAACCTTGCCCAGCCGGACCACCCGGTCTTCCCGGATACAAAGGAAAGCGAGGACCACGAGGAGATAAGGGACCCAAGGGAGACCAAGGAAACGCTGGACGCGACGGCCCAGAAGGAGAAGAGGGACCAGAAGGAGAATTGGGATACCAGGGAGACCAAGGCGCTCCTGGAGAAAAGGGTCTTCCAGGAGAAGATGGAATCGGATACGCCAAGGGACCTCCAGGCCCCAAGGGAGAGGCTGGTACGCCCGGATTGGAAGGAGACGAAGGTCTGCCCGGAGAAAGAGGAGATGATGCTTCGCCAGGCGCTCAAGGAGCCCCAGGTCCACAAGGACCTCCCGGAGAGCCAGGAAAGGATGGGATTCCCGGCCTTCCAGGAGCTGGAGGAACTCCCGGAGCTGACGCTGAATACTGCCCATGCCCAGAACGCGGCTCCGGAGGAAGTGGACCAGACGCTGCCGCTCATCAAGCCCCAAGTGGAGGCGCCGCTGCCGGATATGAGAAGGCCGCTCCAGTGGCTCCAGCTCCAACTGCTCCATCCGCTGCTGTCGAGGAGACCGCTCCTCCAGCTTCGGCCTATCCCGAGACCGCTCCTGCCGCTTCTGCTGCCCCAGCTGAGGCAGCCAGCACCAACTCTGAATATCAGCGAGCTGTCGCTTCAAGACGTTTCGCCGCCTACTCCAAGTTGGCTCACGCCGCTTCTCTTCGTCGTCGTCACCTCTAAACATTGACGAAAAGATTTTGAAATTGAAAAGCAAATCCTTGACAGATGGTTGAATAAATTTGAGAGCATTGCAGACTGTTGTTTTTTATGACTAAAAACCAAAACAAAGTTTTGTAGAGGCCGCGAACTCTGTGTGCCATAATCCTCATAACATTGACCTTAACACTCCTTTTCTGAGTGCTGTTTTTGTTTGGCCTTGGGATCACAAAAAAACTTGGAAAGTCTGACAAAGATGTTCTGCTTTTTATTTCTATTTTTGGCCACGTCTGATGTGATCGTGAGCTCGTTTGGGAAACTCTCTTTTGAACTTTAAAAGAGACAGAATCACGTCAGTTTAATCGGGGGGAGTTTTGTAGTTTCAATAATGTTTGTGTTGAAAATCTGCTGTTCTTTGTGTAAAGCAATTGCTAAAAATTTCAAGAATTGATACTTGACCCATGTAGACTGTATTGAGAAGATTTGGCAACGCGGTTTCCTCAAAAATTATCAAACTTGAGCAATAATAATTATGCAATTATTTGGTCGTTGTCCTTGAAAGGAGCCCTCATTATTGATTTTTCAAGCTACATCTGTAGATCAAGGGAAAATCATCAAATTTGTAACCTTTCCCAATCTCATACCACAAAATAGATGATCTAGTATCATCCCACGTCATCTGTACCCATCTCCTATCGTATTCTCCAGCCCAATCCCCGGAAGTGTCGGTCACATGGACCGATTCCGAAACTTGATTCTCCCGCCAAGCCTCCAGAACAACAAGCGGATTATGGCTGGCAGATAAGGAAAGATTTACCTCGAGATGTATGTATAAACCGGAATGACAGTCATTATCAGGGCGCAAGCAGGAAAACTGATAAGACTCTGCCCGTCCAAAGCACCTTTCCCTCCACTTTGAGCAGCAAGTATTTTCCGGCTCCGCAGGCGTCTTATTGCCATTCTGCCGTAAAAACTGGGTGTTTTGAGGGCTCCAGGGTTGTCGTGGGTACAATGGGAGGTTGTACAGCAACCGTGGCAGATCATAGAGTCGTTGCAGAGGGGGTTTGATGCATGGGGATCAAATATTAGGCTAAATGGCCGCAAGAATGTTTGAAGTCGTTTCCAGTGGAAAAATGGGGGCTAAGGTAGTACAACCCCTCAGTCCAGTTCAGCCCCCCATGACCCAGTATAAGCCCCCTCATCCAATTTGAAGCGCCTACTCGGGATTGGGTTCTATGGGCTACGAACTACCAAAGCCTCGAAAAATGCTTTCTTAAACGCTGAGTACACTCACGTAGGCAACAATTTTTAATAAATCACCTAAGATGACGTGGGTTTTCGGAACTTATCAGGGTATAATTTTGGCCTCCGTTGGTTAGACAACTGCTAGAAATCCTTGCTACTTGGCGAGTATATACCTCTTTGTTTCATAAAAAAATTCTATTATAATCGATAATCTTTGGTTTGTTTTGTCGATGATTTACTGCAAAGCAAACGATTACATTATGCAGGCACGTTGTAAAAGCTTTTGATAAAATTCTTCGTACTTATGCCCTTGAAATCATAAGTTGTTGATCTTTGGCGACATTTAGTCCCATGACTTGCCTGATTTTTGCTGTACGATCTCTAAACGTTTTCTGTTCGAACCTTGACTTCCTTATCTGTTTACAAAACAACATTTTTTTGTATATCCTCAGCGTTGCTGATAAATAACTTTTGGCCGTCACTATCTGCTTCCTAACTTATTTCCCATTTTTTTATTTCTAGAACATTCCACGTCATGTCCACATAACCCTCTACAAATCGCCGCATATCCGCCTACCTCCTAAATTATTGTTGTAAATATGGTTTACATTTTGTTATTTATTTTATTCCTTGTTTCCGTCGACGCCCACTTATATGGAGATGTAAGTTTTCGCAAATTTTGCTTACAAAAAGAATTTTATCAAAAAAGTTTTCATGTGATCGCATTGGAATTTATTTACGATCCGTTTTTGCCGCACCTTGAGAAATTGGCCGATTCGTCAGCATGTTATTAAAGAAGTTGTAAAACATTTATTAAAGCACTTGGCTCAAAGCTGATCGTATGATCAGCATACTGTACATTAACAATTTTGAATTTTGTAAATTGTAAAATATGGAATAAAGTAATAAATTTCCAGTACAAAGAAGATTCCCGGCATGTTCGAGCCAATATACCGTTGGAGTTGGTCCTCGAAGAGTCGTGTTCTCTATCCATCAAGTACAAATCCTGCAGGTGCGGGGACCAGGTGGACAAGACGGTGTGTTGCTGCATGGATCGGCATATTCAACGGGTCCCGAAGCATCTTCATTGGAGAATGAAGACACTGTAAGTTCTTTTTCGATTTAGGAAGGGTGAGATGCTTATAAAAAATGTAATTATATCGATACTCAAATATCTTAACTCGTGCTTTCAAGCCAAAATATTCAGGGACTTTTGTTGACAAGATAGTGCAGGAAATTCGAACGATGACAAAGAAATGACTTTGCAATCATCAAAAATTTAGAAAGGACTGACAAGCTCCTGAATGTTACAACTTGAAAATCACTTTTCGGAAAGCGTAGCTATGTTTATTGCGGAGAATGCTCTCTAAATAATAAACCTATGCCTGATTTACCTCCTAATCCCATAATAACTCTTCCAGATTCATCTACAACACTTCCATTTCCCATATTGAACACCACTCTTTCCACAGCTACAAATTTCTTGAGAAACTGTAAGTCACCCGCTCTCAAAACCCATGACGTCATAATTTGTATAATCTATCATTCGCTTTGTCAATTATGGCATAATTCCAGACAAATCCTCCAAAATGATAAGCTGGAGCATGTGGACAAGAGAGCATTCGAAGGACTCGAAAAGTTGTTCAAATTGTAAGCCTTTATCGGTATATGTTGACAGTCTTTGCAGAGAGATATCAGGGTCGCCCTTTCTAAGAAGCTTACCGGAAGTCATCGTGCCCCATGCACATCGATTGCAGTTACTGTAAGTGTAGTTTGGAAGGGCTTGGACTTAAAGCTATTCTTCAGAATCCTCCGAAACAACGGTCTTCCTGAAATCCCAAACTTTCGAATCCACCGAACCGGTAAATTTGCCTTGGAAAGAATTGATCTAAGCTACAATCGGATCCAATCGATAAAGGTTGGGGCTCTGGATTCACTGGTGACAAAAGTGTTGCTTCTGAATAACAATGAGATCCAGGAGATTGAAGAGTATGCGTTTCCAGGCTGCGAATTTGGGTCCTTGTGAGTGGCATCGCTAATAAGATTAATGAACAATATTGGGTTGTAGAAATATCTCAAATAACAAGGAACTGTCTACAATCTCTCCCTCTGCCTTTTCGAACATCGTCCACATCGAGGAACTTGATTTGAGTGGCTCACAGATTACTGAATTACCGTACGATGGCCTCAAAGAGATCAAAAAACTCCGACTTCAAAGAATCCCCACACTCAAAAGACTACCGCCGATCTTGGCGTTCACAAATCTCCATAAGGCCGATTTCACATATCCCTACCATTGTTGCTTCCTAAAGTACGCAACAAAGGAGTATTCCAAGGGAAATGATCAAAAGTTTTCATCAAATTATCGGCAAATCCAACGGAGAACTTGCACAAAGTTACGGGCAAAAGAAGAGCAAGCTATTCGATTTAGGAGAGCAATCGCATCATGGTCGAAAAGTGAGAATTTGAATGCCTGGTTTGAGAAGCAGGCCAGAGGCTTGGATATCAACAAATTTGTTGATGAACCAGTGCAAACGGAAGTTCAAGGTAAGGTATTTTATAAAGTAGATTTACGATGATAATAGACTGGATTTTGATGTAGCTTGAACTTGAATATGAGGGTTTCATAGAGGTTTAGAAATATTATAAAAGGGTATCTTGAAAAATGCCAGTTAAGACTTCAGCCCCAAAAGGCAATTTCTAATCATTTTTTTACTCTCCAGCCTATCGGAAGGTATTCACCGAGAAGAGTTTCGTCGTCCAGCGCTGCGAAGAAGAGGCCGTTGCCAACTTCTACCTCAATATTACCTGCACTCCCTTGCCGGACGCTCTGAATCCCTGTGAAGACATTGTCAGCTACCCCACTCTACGAATATTTTTGTGGCCAATGTGGATCATCGCGATCGTTGGCAATATCTCGGTTTGGTTTATAATTGCAGCGGTTTGGCATCGCCGGCTCCGTTTCCACTACTTTTTCATGCTCAACTTGTCTGTTGCGGACTTTCTAACTGGTGGGTCAGTCACAAAAATTTGCAAATATTGCGGACCTAAGACTTGAAAATTGAACATCTCATATTGCACATGGTATTTCAGGGGTCTATTTGGCATTTCTTGCATTTGCTGACTTCAAGACAGCAAATCAATATTACAACCATGCGGTGGAATGGCAGACGGGATGGGGCTGTAATGTGGTCGGATTCATCAGTGTTTTTGCCTCCGAATTGTCGATCGTTTCGATGCTGATGATAGCGTTTGAGATCTATTACAATGCCCGTTACGCCTTTTATGGGAAGTGGATGAGCTCAACAACAGCTTATATTACAATCTTCTTGGGGTATTTGTATGCGTTCGTCATGGCGGGTAAGTTTTTATAGAATCTTGAAAAATGTGTCTCCTAGGCTTAAAAATTCGAGCGTCGAACGTTGAAAACTTTAATTTTTAATTCTAACATCATTTCCAGCCCTTCCGTTATTTGGGATTTCGTCCTACGAAGTCTCCAGTATATGCCTGCCCCTCTCCATCGACAATGTCATCGACCAAATCTACCTGGTTGGCGGCTTAACAACAACTGCCTTAGCTTTTGCTGGCATAATCCTAAACTATGCTCTGATTAATTTCATGATCCGCGGCGATCCCACCATGCCCGCCCGAGCCGAGGACAGACAGATTCTGATACGAACTCTGGTCCTGATCGGGACCGATATGCTTTGCTGGCTGCCAACACTCTTCTTCGGGATTACAGCCGCTCTTGGCGTCCCGCTGATAACATTGACTAATGCGAAGATCTGTCTGATTCTGTTCTATCCGATTAATTCGTGTGCCAACCCACTGATCTATGTGTATATGACGAAGATTTGGACGGATGTCAAGAACAAGGCGCCCTTCTTCGAGGTGAGGAGCTTCAAGACGGAGAAGAGTCAAGTCAATCGATTCTATTACAACAATTCTCCGAGACCGGAGAAGAATCGGTCAACGTCGCTTCATAATGATGATGCCTTCCATTCCAGGGAAAATCAGGTGAGAAGAGGGGTAAAATTCAAAATTAGGTATATGTACATTTTGGGCTAAAAAAATTTGAGTAAGCACATTTTCAGACCACCCAAACAACATCTTTGAACTCCACTCCTCGCGGCTCCAATTCGTCGACGTTATTCCGCCATTCTGCCGCTGAAATTGAACCACTTCGTCGGAGTGAGGATCGACGGTAATAATAACTTTCTTATTATATATTGCCAACTAGTCATCATTATGCCAAAAAATAAGCTTTGATTTTTAGCGATCAAACTCCCGAAACAGACTGCCCTCGACTCGAGCGAAAGAGAAAGTCGATTCCGGCGATTCCAACGTTCCGATTTCGAGTCTCAGCGATCCCGGAGATGTCGGATATCAGCGAAAGTTCGTCCAATTCCCAGGAAGAGAACGAGCGACGGAGCTCGAGGAAAAGTCAGGAGCGGAAAGTGTCGAGATTAGCGTTGGAAGAGAACTGCGTCAACGGAAAGGCCGAGAATTCGGAGAGCGAAAATTCAAAGGCAAAGAAGCTGGAGAGGTACGATAGTTTGTCAATATGAGTGCGGTATGTAGAAATATTTGTTTTAGAATAAAGTTTAAATACAAAATGAAAGCTTAATTAAATAAATTTAAATATAAAATGAAAGCTTAATTACTAGGTTGTCCAACAAATAATGACCCTCTTCGAAAATTTTACTTTTATAACAAAACTTACTGCAATAATAACAATCTACTTAATCAAAATAATTACCGTGTGCTTGAACACACTTGCTCCAACGTGATACAAGTTTTTTTTATTCCAATAGCGTAGAAATCCGGCTTTCTGGAGCCAATGAAACTTTCGAAGGCCTTTTCAAGGGATCGATTTTTTTCCATAACTTTGGATTAAGGCTAAATTACTGTAACTTGACCCAAATATGACAAATCTTACCTTAAGCGAAAGATTGAGATTCCGGCTACAAAATGGTACAATTTTTCGAAATATTGTTGTTGTTTACGTTTTTTATAGGCTTTGAAGTTTGACCCCTTCGAGGAGGGTCATTATTTGTTGGACAACCTAATAGATTTGTGGGTTTCTTAATCCAACAGGATTGTGTCACTGTTGTTATCCCTGCAGTGTTTGGGGAATCTTTGCAAATAAAAGTATCGGATAGTCGGAACAAGTAGGCCAACAAGTATTATGAGCACGATGAAGAGAGGAAGCCAGCTGTTTTGCACCGGCTCTTCAACGAATTGAACAAAAAACCCATCGGGGCCGGTCTCGAGGATTGATGCCATTTGCTCAAGAAGGTACTAAAACGACCGCTCTCCCCAACAAATCCGACCTACAGTGTGAAAGAAAACAGTCTTCTTTCCCTCTCCATTCTCCGTTGAAAATTTTTGCAGCACAAATTTTTGTTTGGCACACGGCTTTTTAACCAATTCGTATCTCTTCACATCGGCGCAAGTCCATCGAAACTGCTCCGCGGAGTATAGAACATCAATATCCGCGCGAATCTTCGAGTATTTGTAGATGCCCAAATTCTGAATGAATTTACATAAGAACCGAAACAGAAATGTACCCTTTCTCCACTGAGAGATGTAAATAATCGCTTGGTGTTTCCAATATCAGCTATGTTTTTGTGCATGATCACATTGTCCATTCGATGGAGGACCACTTTATTGTTCCAAAACTCACCATAAACTCGGGTCATTTCAACACGTTCGGGGTAAATATTCAAAAATATGGGCTCAATGATTTCTTTTCTTGGTGGATTAATTGTCCCATAGAAACCACTAAAAGTCATGATTGTATTACAGAGTCAGCCCTTGGCTAATATGGAGAAATCTCTTACGTTTTGGATATCCTCTCAATGATGACATATCCAAATATTCTCGTTCCATTTTTGAGCTCGGTGAAGAGCAATTGGATATCGTTCAATTTCTTTGGCCCAACATCTACTGGAGGCAGCTTGAAAACTTCAATTGTGGAACTAAATATGAGCTGGACTGTCTTATAATATGCACATATTTATAATACGATAATTGTTTTGATGGCATGAAATTCACAGGGTCAGTGCTCGAAGAGTATATCCTTATGTGTTTAACAAGGGAAGTACCACAAGTGCGATGCTCGGATTTTCTTTAAATTTTGCACACACGTCGGGTATGGACTAAATATCAATTCCTGAAACTTTTATCTCGCGCTTTGCAAGCGCCGTCGAGATATCGAACGAGCACGCTAACGTGGAGAGCGGTCAGAGGGAAAAACGCTTTTTGGCCATAACTTTGGCAGTTTCGTGCGGAAAAATGTGATTTTTTGTAGAAACATTATTCTTTACGGTAGAAATTGGCATGAAACTTTTCGTGCTGAAATTCGGCAAAAAGTCCTAAATTTTCGCCGACTTTCGATCTAAAAATCTCGGTTGTTTCTGCAAAGCGCGAGCTAGGATTCTCGCATATATCTTAGAAAAAATTATTCTAAATTTGTGCCAAGTTTCATCAAAATCTGAGCGTCGCACTTGGGGTACTTCCCCTGTAAGTAAAAAATGCCGCACATTATCGAACTGACTATGCGATGGCTGAATTCACATTATTTTCTCGACAGATAAAGAATTTCTACATAATCCTAGAGCATGCCAAACTTGGAAATTGCCCTTCAAAAATTTATACATATGAATATGCCCTTTGTTCCGTCCTATGTGCCTCTACTTACTTGAGAAAGCTCGGCGTATTGTCATCAATAAAATATCGGCTCTCATTTACAAACATATGAGTTACATTGTCCGTCAACTGCACAGTCTTCAGGACGTTGGGATAAAAGCCATCTGGATAAAGCGCTGTTAGATTTGCGGAACCAAGAACATGCAGTAAAAGACTTGCGACATTATAGGCCGTCATTGCTTTGTTCGATTCAGGAATTCTGTTTAAACAATGTTTATATTGCCGTTTTTTTATAGGTTTAAGTTTTTTATCAGTAATTTGAAATCCAATACTTGGACAGAGATCAAATCTCGAGGTTTATTGTGACGAAGAAGCATTTATTTGTAAGCAGTAATATTACGTTATGATGACGTCACTTTAGTCATCGGTCTCTTCAATTTTCCGGCGTTCTTGTAGAACGATGTCGGCATGGGCAATCTCGTCTCGCTCTATGGACCTTCCAAAACGAATAATCAGAGCAATAAGCAGGATAATCAGAGAGGCCGCCGCTAATAAGACGACCGAACTTACAATTAGAGGGCTACTAGTAACAGAGGTTTGGCCAAACTGTATGTAAAGATTGTCGAGGTGCGCTTGAAGATTGGGATCGTGAATTTGTTCCGTCATCATTTCGATTAGTCGCTGAAATAGTAGATTTAAAAGCAATCGCTTGAAACAAGATTTTTATTGATAAAGCAAGGCTCAAAGAGGACGTTCGCATTTCCTTCTTCACACATGCTTTGAAAGCTTTAATCTATTGTAAATTTATGCCAATTTTCATCAAAATCTGAGCGTAGCACATTGAGTACTTCCCTTGTAAATTAAGTTTTCAAAAAGGGACAGGTACTTGTCTTGCTAAAAAGGTTAAAATGAATTCTTACCGCATGAAAGAACTGACTGAACCTCTCTTCTCCATCAGCCTCTAACTTTTTATACAAGTAGAAAGACTGGACACCGCAGGACATTTCTGCCACCAACGCCATCGTTGCCAATCCACAGTCAACCCCATCGTCTTTTTGGGAAAAAATAAAGTCGTCGTCGTGTCGAATATACGAAGATTTATATGTGAGATCGGCCTCCTAAAACTAGAGAATTATGAATTCATTGATCTACCTTCTCGCCATCAACTCGGTACAAATGTTTGTTCGAATTTCCGAGATCTTCTTCAAAGCGTACTTCAAATCCGCCATGGCGTCGATGAAAGATGATGTTCTTTTCATAGAAGTCAGCCCGCCAGTAACTGGAAGGAGGTCGCTGGTTTAGCTCTTTGTTCCAGACCTCTGTTTTGAGTGGATTTAGAGTGCCGAAAATGGCGCTGAAACGACAAAAGAATAGAAAATAGTGAGGACTTGTTGCAGCAAAATGTTTCATCGCAAAATTTGTGCAGTCGCGCATCAAATCTCTAGCTATGGCAAAGCGACAAAGGACGATTCCAAAGCGCGACAAGTCCTTATTATTTTCCCGACAGGCTGATCACAGCCCTGTAATCAAACCTTACGTATCATTAACTTCTTCTCTGATCAAGAATCCATACTCCCTTGTCTGATTCTCCAACGAAAAGAACAGCTGAATGTCATACTGCTTCGTTCCATCATCATCCAACGCTGGCAATGGGAAAACCTCAACCGTTGAACTGAATATTCATCATAAATGCCCATCATCAAGTTTAAACCCACTTCAGATACTCAACCCCTTCATCTCCAACGCGATACGATGACTCATTGGCAAAAACGTGCGTTCGGTTATGCGTCAACTCAACTGTATTTATAGTATCGGGGTTAAATCCATCTGGGAAATAACCCTTTTGGGATAAGATGACTCCAAAATGAAAAAGAACTTCTGTTAACAACATGGGGAAATGTTGTCAATAAAATGGTTAGAGGGGGGAAAATAAACTACACAGGGGAGCATTGTTTATTTCTGTAGCAGTCAAAGGTTTGTGATTAGCGAGTGAGCAAGGGGAACGTTTTGAAACAGATTGAGAAATGTACTAGGATGTCACTAATCAGCCTAGGCAAGAAGATATATTAACATTATAAAAAAAATTTCAGAGAGAAAAATCATACAAGACAGAACGAACGGCTTCAAGGCGCCTTGAATTGCAATACGCCAAAGAAAAAAGCCGGCTGTCCAAATCGTCATTCTAACGGCTGGTTATTTACTCTGTAGAATTGTTGTTGTATTGAGAAGTGGTCTGCTTATGACAGAAACAGCTTGGTAACTAAAAAGTCGATTTTTAAAAATCTTTTAAAATTTTAAAACGTGAGTATAAGCTCCAATGTTGAAGACGAGTCATTTTTCGCCCCTAAAGAGTTTGTAACAATTTTTCAAAACAACAAACAGCCATCCTGACCCCATCCAAAATCACCAACTTTTATTATAAGCCTAAAATTGTATTTGCTATCTTTGCAACCCCATTTCTTTCAGCAGCAACTATCCCACCCACCTCTCCAGTAATTGGTCGTATCTGTATCCCACGTTTTCACTTATTTGCACGCTTGCTTCCGGATTTTGTAGTTCTATGAATACATTAAAAGCAGCTCGGAGATTTATGTATTAAACTTGAAACAAGCTCTCACCATGTGGTTCTGTTTTTCGTACAGGTGATACCAGAATTTAAAAACGACAAAATTTTTGCCATTTATATAAAATATATTATGGGAGAAAGAAAGGAAAACGTCATCGCTTTTTCCTCCATTTTTTCATAGTATAGCTGTAGGTTTGTTTTTAGCAAAGCACGTCGGGATCATGTCGATACAACCTCCGTACTCAGAAAAGACCAGTTCTGGGTACGAAAGTGATCATCTTACACTAATTTTGTTTTTGCTTCTTGCAAAATTGACAGTTATTCATTTATTCTGCATTCTTTGCCACTGTTTATTTCCCCACCCTTTGAAACGTTTAATTATTAGGATAACTAAGTTATTTGTTTTTCCGAAAACTATTCCCTGTAATTTTATTTCATGTCATAGGGAAACGTCATAACACCCATGCTTGTTATTTATTTAGTTATTTCTTTCTGGTCATCATTACTGTGTCCAAAACGATCAAAAAGTTACTGTTTGGCTATATTTGATAGTGGAGTTGTACAGGGTCGTCCAAATCGGAGAAATGATAATGAAAGTTGTTTTCTCTGGCAATCTCGGCTTCGAAATCTGTTATGCATCTTCGTGGCAAATGTCATGATACATGTTCATAGACAGTCTCGCCCATTTCTTCGCTTCATTAAATATTTTGATTAATTAAGCTTGTTAGGCCAAAGAAACAAAAGTAATGCCTTGAGGAATGAAAATTAGATTTTTTCGACTACTCCATTGGGGTCATATTTGGTGGACGTAAAAATTGGTGTGTCTGAGCTTCAATTTGATGTAAATTTTATGTTAGGCGGGCCAAAAAGTCCAAAAATGTTTTCGCACTGTGCGGGCGCATGAATTCGTCGTTGCGACGAGGCGTCGCGCGATAAACATTTGGCGGAGAGCGAATGAAGAGCGCACTGTGCATTGTTTACCCTTTTCAAAACAGCTTTTTTGCACTGTGCATGGCCGCATTGCACCGTAATTTTTTTTTGTCGCCGCGCGACAAATTTTATGCGCGACACCGCACTGTGCAGAAATGTCAAGATTTTTTGGCCCGCCTTGGAGAAATTAGTGCATTATTGGCGAAGAAATAACTGAAACAAGGTTGTTAGGCTTCGTGCGGTCCACTATGTGGAATAATTAAGATTATTTCCCGGAAATTTGTTTTACCGTGTCTCTAATAATTTCAGGAAAGCCCGTCCCATGTTGTTTTCTTCCTTTCACTCTCATGAAACTGAAATTTCTTTCATTTATGATGCTTTGACAGCTTGACAACTCGTCCAAAGAACATGGTTTACTTCTCATTTCAGCATCGTGTCGGTCATGCCATTTGTCGCTAGCAGTTTGTAGCTACATACAAAAAATCTTTTTAACTTTTGTAAAATTGTGCTCTGCAGCATGGGCTCTCACAATTTTTATGTTATTGTTTTTTGAAATGGAAATTAATGTTAAATATAATTTTGTATGATGATCGTTGCCTTTTACTGTAATTACACCAAGCATGGCCGCTTTTTTGGGGAAAACAAGAAGACCATGGGGATTCTGAGTAAACATCAGAACGGGTTCAGTGAGAAAAGCCAAAACATCGTATCTTAGAACACTCTTTTTGTCTTGTCTAGTAGGGAATATAGCGTCGAAATTAAATCAAACTCAGTGTTATATACGGCCATAAATAGTTTAAGTTTGTATGGTAGAGGCGGCATGCGCTTACTCTCTTTATTGTAGGATATATAAATATGATTTTATTTTTGTGAGTGGGTCCTACTTTAAAGGACCAGAAAAGGTATTTTTTGAACCGATTTTTTTATCGGCGTAATCAGGCAATTTCGTGGCGGGACCATCAAGGTATGTATGTGTTCTCGATTTTTAGAATGGAGAATAAACTTCTCCTGTGAATTTTTAATGGCTGATTGGCCCAAAAACATTGCTTCACATGTTGAATGAGCTGGGTCATTCCAGGAACTCGATGAAAAACATCAAAACCGTTCATGTAAGTTGTTTTTTTGCCCTTCAGTTACTTTTTTAGGTATCTCTCCATGAGCAATAAAGATTGGACAATTAGAATCGATTAGATTGTGCATCCGGGACCTGTGGAAGGGTATGGTCGAGGGAAACGTGGTGAACAGGTGAGAGTTTTACATTTTTTGTTTGTTTTTTAGACCGGGATCATGGATAATATAATTTTTATCAGTGAAATTAGGGCCCGAGCTTTAGTTAAGAACTGTATGGAGTAGTCCAGGCGTTGATGCACGGTTTACAGAACAGAGCATGTTTTTACTCCGTTTTTATCAGAAGTATGCACTTTTGCCATGGATAATATCAAAATTTTGGCTAAAACTTGCTTTTTGGGTAATAATCTTGAACTTTTTGGCAATAGATTGTTTGTATTCATTTTATTTCAGGTTCCTGGTATGTCGGGAAAAGACTACGATGCTGGAGACTAGAACCACAGCCATCACTACGGACAATTATCGCCTCACGATCGTTGATTCTTTTTTCCATCAATATTTCAATCTAACCTTAATAATCTAACCTCAATAAGCAATAAATCTTGTTATTATGCTCTATTAATAGTGTTTGAATTCGTCAAGGCACTTGACGCCTTGTTCAGAGTAAATCGATGGAAAGAGATACCTAAAATTGAAAATTCATGAAGTACAACATCATTTTCGCACTTATATGAGGATTTTCCATAGAATTCCTGAGACTGCACATCTTATTCAGCACGTATATCAAGGTTTCTGGGCCAATCGGCCATTTGAAATCCACTGGAGAAGTTTATTCTCCATTCTAAAAATCGAGAACACATACATACCTTGATGGTCCCGCCACGAAATTGCCTGATTACGCCGATAAAAAAATCGGTTCAAAAAATACCTTTTCTGGTCCTTTAAGTATTTACATTCTAAAGTCCGCGCTCAATATACAAGATCTTGAAGTTGATGCTAAGTACAAAAAATATAAGAGAGGCCCGTTGTGAAACGGAGACGTAAAGTGATGTCTGTCTGTAGCTATGATATGTCAAAAGACTTGAACCTTTCGGCAGAACCCTTCATACAAAGTGTCGTAAATTGAATGTAAAGTGTTTTTGAGAGTTTTTGGTCTGCAGGCATTAACCCAATGTTATTCCAAGAGCCACTCCTTGACATTTAGAAACGATGGTCTCTCGAAAAGCATCTCCAACACCAAGTGCAAGCTTTGTAATAAAAAAACGGGCAATTACATATTGATGTCCCTGCTCTCACAATTTCCTCTCCATTACTTCGGTTAGGCGTTGTAAAATTGCTGTGAACTCTTTGCCTTTGAAGATAAACGGCAATAAATATCATTCGAGATATTCAGAATGCCTGAAGTTTATGATCCGCAGAACTTTCAGCGCATGAATGAAGGAAGGTTCAACATGATAGTGGATGTTTTTTTGAACATGTTCATCGTTATCTCCGTCGTTTCTACATGCTTTTTCTTGTACATAATGCATATTACCAAAATGCTGCATAGTAATTTGAAGTTTACTTTGGTAAGTTCAAGCATAATTATACGCCTTCTTTAGCAAAGAAAATTATTTGTTTACTACAATAATAATATCTTTTTCCAGATGTTTTTATCGATTACTCTCCGCCTTATGACGGTGACTCGAGCAGTAGCCGACTTTGCGTACCTCATGGACAGCACTGCCCAAATTACTTACTACATCTGCGAATCGATGAGCTTCTGCCATCTACTGTCCATGGGATTCGTGCAGCTTTCGTTTGCGGCGTTGGTCATCGAGCGCGCGTTGGCAACAATCTACCATGCGAATTACGAATTGTGGGGCAACAAGCTGGCTAAAGTCGTTATTGGTCTGTTCACAATCAATGCTGTAGGTTTTTGCCTTACATGTCTGCTGCTGAAATCGTATGGAATTGTAAGGGCCGAGGAGAACTTTCCAACGTGCATTATAGTGTTCAAATGCCCGGTGTTTACCATTTATAGGTAAGTTAGTATTCGAAGATCACTGCAGCGACTTGTTTCAAATCATATTTTAGGGTTAAGTGTCGACTTCTTGGCCATTTTTTCCTTGACTGACAAGAGAAGTACCCCAAGTGCGACGCTCAGATTTTGATGAAACTTGGCACAAATTTAGGATATTTTTTTTAAAAATATGCGAGAATCTTAGCTCGCGCTTTGCAGAAACAACCGAGATTTTTTGATCGAAAGTTGGCGAATTTTTAACACCTTTTGTTGAATTTCGGCACGAAAAGTTTCATGCCGAATTCTACCATAGAGGGTAATGTTTCCATAAAAAATCAATTTTTTCCGCACGAAACTAGCAAAGTTATGGCCAAAAAGCGTTTTTCTCTCTTACCGCTCTCCGCGCTTAGCGTACTCTCTCGGCGGCGGCGCTTGCAAAGCGCGAGCTAAAACTTTCAGGAATTGATACTTATTATATGTAGTTCATGACCAACGTGTGTGCAGAATTTAAAGAAAATCTGAGCGTCGCACTTGGGGTACTTCCCTTGTGAGCATTGAAAACCTAGAAAGATATTTGAAGCCTCTGTTTCAGCTGGGCTGTTTTCGGCCTAACAATGTTACTGGGCGCTGGTCCCATCGTTTGGCTCTACTACTACAACAAGAAAATGTGCCTCTTCCGAGCCAACGGATCTTTAACAACTCGTTATCAATATCATGACAACGTGGTCATCCTTCGAATCTACGCTCCCGTTATTGTCTTCGCGGTGTTTGGAATCGGCTTGGTTTGCATGGTAATCGTTCTCACTGCTGGGATAAAGCTTCTACATCATGAAACGTTGAGTCTCGAAATGTACACGCTCTTCAAGGCAAGGATGAGTTTTTTAAAGCTAATTTTACGTCGTTTGATGCAACAAAGACTTGCAGAACTGTGTGTAGTGAATTAAGGATTCTATTTTAGTGCACCTTTGTAATGAGCGACATCGCAGCGACGAGTATCGAGACTGTTTTGATTCGTTTCCATCCTGTTCTTTGGCTCAATGCCCGGCGATGTTTCCCTTGCTTCTTTAAGGCCGAAAAGGTTGGAGAAGGTCCGAAGGAGACGGAGATTGCGTACGGACCCGACTTCCATTTCAATCAGCTCACGGCGAGTTGGAAATAGATCCCAATAACGTATAATATGTATAAGAATTTTTTAATGTACCTCATTCTTAACTAGTAAAGTGTAAGCCAAGATTTTTTTATCGAAATTTCAGTCTACAAATTTTGGCGTTAGCAGTACCGTTTATTTCATGACTAATCAATAAGTTAAAAAGTTTAACCCGGACAGAAATAATGAGATCGGCTAATGTAAAGTTAAGAGTAATGTAAATTAATATACAAAGCTTCCCTAGACAATGTCCTAGACCTCTATATAATCTGTATTCATTTTGATCAGCTTCCGAATGGGCAGAGCTCGTTGCGACCGCGGCAAAACAGAGTGGCATCCGACCGTAATCCAATGAACGGACTTTTCGTACGCGTAATATCCGCTTCCCTCATCGCAATGAGTCCTCCTCAAGATGGGAACTTGTCGTCGGATGGGCATGCAATATGAACCGGAGTTGCCGCGAGATCGTCGACATTGGCAAAAGGCTTCGGTCAATGTTTTGGGCTCTCGGTTTTCGTCGTAGGAGGAACGCCAAGACCAGGGACAGAGAGATCGCTCCATTACCTGAGAAAAAGAGAAATTCAAGGCTTTTTCTCAATTTTGGAAGGCACTGACTTGACAATTCGTAAGAGTAAACTGTGCAGGTTTCATAAAGTTAAACTTACCGTAGACGATGGGTCGGTTGAAGGGGTTTTTTCGCAGATTTCGCTTGACTCCGTTTGCGGCGTCGCGATCAGTTCATCCAGATTTTCAACAAATTTTGACGGCTCGACATCGAGCTTGGACGATTCCTGATGCCATTCCAAGAGTTTTAATTTCAAATTTTCCGGCTCTTTACAGATGATTCCTCCATTATTACGGGTTCCAGACTGCGGCTTGGAAACTGTGTGAGTTATCAGGACAAAGATAATAGTGTCGATCAGATAGTGCATCTTTAACCCTAAAACAAGTTCAAAATGAATTGGGTAAATTTGAAGTGAATGGTAAAGATCAATATGAGTATTAAGGGTCATTAAATACGAATCAATACAATCAGTTTTGACTGTAATTTCAGTCATCATAAAGATCAAATTAAACCCATTCCCAGCCCGTTATACAATAGCGCCCCCTGCCCATCGGCGCTCTTCCTCCATCATCTGAAGCCGGCAGATGCTACAGATCCATCTTCATCGAAATGAATCTCCGCCATTCCGAAGAAGAATCCACGCCCTTACGCTAATTACAAAAGTGCCGTCAGAAATGGAAAGCCGCGGTTCCGCAGACAGGATTCTCATCCTCACGCTCTTCAGAAGCCGCATAAAAAGTGAAAATGAAGCGAAAAATGCGTGGATCCTGGAAGTAAAAGTCCAGCTAAAGTGAGGAGGAAACAGTGTCGGAGCGATTGTTTTGTGTGGGTGCTTTGCAGGTGAGTTCTTGACCTTGTCCTTGACTGCCATTCCAGCCGTCTTTGACCCATTGACCGAGCGAGAATTAATTGATCTTCTTGTACCAGGAGGTGAGGGATTACAAGACTTGCGGCTACATTTTTCCTTAATGTAAATAGGAAAATTCTTTAATTATGGATGCTAGAGTATATTGTGCTTGCTATAAGGATATAGAGTCTTCTGCCGGCGGCTTTAGAACTTATTTTTCTGCCTACAAACTCAAAAAAAAAAACAGTTAATTTGTTTGAAGTCAATTACTTGTAATTACGTCTTTTGGAAAACAACAGGAGAAGGATTATGTTTATTCCTAGGAAATTGCGAATTCACGTTGAACTCAAGCATCTCCAATACGCTTCAATTATCTTAATAGTGGTCTAAATCATGGCCATGTTCTAGTCCGTGATGTTCACCAATATGATGTTCCAAACCATGATGTCCATGTTCCAAGCCATGGTGTTCCAAGCCATGATGTTCCAAGCCATGGTGTCCATGCTCAAGTCCGTGATGCTCTAATCCGTGATGTCCAAAGCCTTCATGTTCAAGACCGTGATGTTCCAATCCGTGATGACCGTGCTCCAATCCATGATGTCCTTCGAAATGATGAGGCTCATGATGATCATCATGATGAGAATATCCACCATGACCAGCATGTCCATGTTCAGCTCCATGAGAGAATCCGGCGTCATGTCCGTGATCATCTCCAGCCTCATGGCCATAGTTGGAATGCCATTCGTCTCCAGAAGCATGGGCTTTGTGGCCTCCGTAGTCCAAACGAGCCCAATCGGACTTGTCGCCCTTGCTGAAGCCGTGCTTTCCATGATGATCATGATGATTGTCACCGTCCCAGCCATGAGCGTTATGATGATCGGCATGCCAGTCAGCACCATGACCGTGGGAATCATGGTGATTGTCATGATGGTCGTGATGAGGATGCCATCCGACTCCGAAGAGACCTAGGAGTTCGAAAAGCTCAGATAAGTCTCAAGGTTTTACAAGAAAAATATCTTTGGAAATATCTACCTGAAGCAGAGGCAATCCCAATGCACAAGACGGCCACAGAAGCTACACGAAGGCAGGACATGTTGGATTGGAATGATGATGATTCGAATAAGTTTCCGCCCTTTTATACGAAGCAAACTGTCTGTGAAAAGACATTATTGCCTTGGGGGAAACAGAAACCCACGACATCATTAATGTCATCTTCCATTATTACATAATAAACAGATAGATCTTTTTATGAGATCGTGAACATGACAAAGAACTGAAACCACGTCGTTCTCTGAAGGCATATGCGTATATAAAACTCACGAAGAGCTCAGAAAACATTCTGAAGTATTATAAAATACGGCTTGGATCAAATTCGCTCTTCAATTTTATTTCAAGCCGAAAATTGCGCGTTAGAATGCTTCTGTGTTAGTTCCAATTCGTTCGTGTTCACTTCACGTTACTCGGAGAGTACATGGAAATCGTCACTGCAGAATGATATGACTGAGGTGTCCTGGGGCTCTTATTGCTCTCTAACTCTTCTCCAAGCCGCCTCTTCTCACTGATCGCGTCCATCTGAGCCAGAAAGTCCAATATAACCTGATATTTGACCGTCAATTGCTCGCCGAGCTCTGAAGACGTGGATGAAGTCAGGTGGAAGTACATTTCACGAAGTTGGTAGACCATATCGGGCCGAATGTCCTTGGTGTAGAAGCGGAAGGGCTCGCCGCAATGGGTGAACTGAACTTTGAGCTCTTGAATGGCCATCTGAAATTAAAATTCGAATAGTTTTTTTCAAGTTTTTAACATCAATTCATGTCAAATCTGACAAGTGAGTAGAATATCATCCTCTGGATTTAACTTTTCCCCTGCTCACCTTATCCTTCATCCCGTACCAAGGAAGAGGTCTTCCAACCAAGAGTTGAACAAAAATGTAACTCCAACTTTCCAAGTCGCTCATCACACTTGGTGGAGAAGTGTAATGTGAGACTGCGCTCTGATAAAGCGGGTCAAAGTTGATGTCCTCGTACACGTAATACAACTCCCATTTCTGTTTGCCCTTCAACGGATGCAGGAATCCAAGATCGATCAGAGAAACACCCGCAGTCTCTTCATCAACGTAAAATGAAGCCGGAGTCAGCTTCCCATGGCAGTACTTTTGAGAATGGAGGACATAGAGGGCCTGGAGGGCTTTGGTTGCAATCTCGATGGCGTAGATTTTGGTTGGGCGGATGCGGACGAATTCAGACAGGGAAATGCCAGCCTAAAACAGTCAGATTTACCTTGGGTCTTATTCAAAATACACTCAATTTCAAAATGATAGACACGCCTATAAAATCTGCAATTGCGGCGTCGGGGTTTAGTTGACGGATACGAAACCTTAACAGATTGAAAGAGGAGGTTTGAAAACCTATACCAACAAATCATTTTTCTTATTGCACTGCAATTGCACTTTGCACAAAAGATTTTCCAAATTTTGGGTGTTTCAAAATGATAGACACGGCTGCTATTTTTGCTAAAAACTTGGGAATATGGGCCCCATAGGGCCTGAAATTATTAGTCTGACTGTATTGCAACTCTCTGGACTTTATTGAGTTCAAAACGCCCGAATTTTTGTGCAATTTTCTCGGAATTGCACATATACTTCCATTTTGTGCAATCTGACCTGCATCTTTCAGAAGTCCACTTTCTATGGGCACAGACAGTGCACATGCGACCTATCGTATGTAATGGACCAGATCCAGTCAGTTTTCACTGGTATGCAACAAAAAAATGCGTGGAAATTGCAACAAAAACTGATTCCGCTGCGACATGGTTAGCTTTGAAGGCTACCCTACGTTTCGAAACAAGCTAGATGCGAAGAAAAACTTCATGGCTGGAATGTTTAGGGTCTTATAAAAACGTTTAGGTCAGTAGCATGTGCAGCTTTGCTTCAGCGAGTCCGCAGAGAACCATTCTTTGGCCAATCTATGCGGAATAGGCTTAAAAATGGGTCAAAAACGGCGTTTTGGAAACTTGACCTTTTCTGGCGTTGGCCCGACGGAACCTGGACATAAGGCTTATGCAATAACGTTTTTCTGTGGTTTGTCAAGATAGTTCAGGGCTTTTTGGGTTGTGCAAACGACAGGCAACCGCTTGGGAAGCTATAAAAGTGACGACTATCGTTGCGAAATCAGTTTTCGTTGCAATTTCCACGCATTTTTTTGTTGCATACCAGTGAAAACTGACTGGATCTAGTCCATTACATACGATAGGTCGCATCTGCACTGTCTGTGCCCATAGAAAGTGGACTTCTGAAAGATGCAGGTCAGATTGCACAAAATGGAAGTATATGTGCAATTCCGAGAAAATTGCACAAAAATTCGGGCGTTTTGAACTCAATAAAGTCCAGAGAGTTGCAATACAGTCAGACTAATAATTTCAGGCCCTATGGGGCCCATATTCCCAAGTTTTTAGCAAAAATAGCAGCCGTGTCTATCATTTTGAAACACCCAAAATTTGGAAAATCTTTTGTGCAAAGTGCAATTGCAGTGCAATAAGAAAAATGATTTGTTGGTATAGGTTTTCAAACCTCCTCTTTCAATCTGTTAAGGTTTCGTATCCGTCAACTAAACCCCGACGCCGCAATTGCAGATTTTATAGGCGTGTCTATCATTTTGAAATGGAGTGTACTTACAAAATCATAAAGAGCAAAGTAAACTTCTTGCTCGCCGTCAGAGATTCTTCCGCGAGGGCATTCATGGGTGATTTCGGCCTCACGCGCTGAAAAATGCAGGTATTTTGGAGAAAAATAATGAAGAAATGGAAGATGTAATGTTCTGTAAATTTAACTCCAAAAATGTCAAAAAATAATATTTTTAGAAGATTTCAACTTCAAAAATCCCGAAGATTTCTGCAAAACGCAAACCAAAGACTCTCAGATTCTTGAGTTGACAGAATCATTAAAGTGGACCTGATCCAATGGCAGAAAACGTACCATTTTGCATCCGGGAGGTATCAAAAATGTGGCAAAATGCTTCCCTTTCCAAGAGAAAAAACATCATTTTGAAGGGCCCTTTCCCTCACAAAAAGGGCGGGCGCGCATTTGATTGTGAAATCGGAGTTTTTTTTCACTTGGAGAGAGAGATATTTTGCCACATTTTTGACACTTCCCGGATGCAAAATGGTACGTTTTTTGCCACTGGATCAGGACCCGCACTGTAATCACCTACCTGGCATGATAACTCCACAAATGAGAACTCCCAATGCGAATTCCCCTTGTTGATTCAGCCGATGAACCAGTTGATGGACTGATCTAAGCCGTTTGTGGGGTGAATCATCGGCTTCAAAGTTCATGACACACTGCATTTCGCCCTCTCCCTCCGCCAAAACGCTGACATTTACAGCGCCAGTGAGGCGGCCGGTCATCGAGGAGTATTCAGAGTTCGTGGAGATGATCTTGTCTCGAAAACTGAGCACATTCCCCTTGATTGGCTCGCGAGGTCGGCGGGTCTGCAGAGAAAATTATTTTTTTCCACCGATTTCATTGGCCATCTGAAAAAATTATGGTCTTACCATGTCCTGCGACAATACATGAAGAGGGTCCTCCAGGTTCTCCGCATCCGCCGACATTGACGGCTTCTTCTCGCGCTTCCTGAACTTGCGATACAAACATAATATGATCCCGATGATGAGGATTGGCACAAGGATCACAGCTAACACAATGGCCACCGGAATGAGCGCCGAAGAACCGCCTTCTTCCTTTTTTCCCTTAGGCAACGGTATGTTATGCTTGAAGAGCTTACCGTTTCTGTGCTGTTCATGAAAAGTCCTCACTGGTTGAGCGACCAATTCGCCAGAATAAAAGCCAAGAAATGGAGAGGATCAACTACGGAGAAAGTTCTTGGAAGAATGAAAAATTTTGATTTTTTTTTACATTTTTTTATCTTGATTTTGTGAACTTTGCAACGGTTTGACCTCAAATTTGTTGGCTGTATATTCAAGTTCATTTTTTGCATTTTACATTGTGCGCTCAAAATCTGAAATTACGGTATATATATCGGGTCCAGAAAACGATGAATTTACTACGGTATATAATAAAACCATTTGAACTTGAGGTGCACTTTGCCGGGTGTTCTACGATATGTCGATACTGAGGCAAAGTGCAATACATATAATATTAAAATAACTTGGAATTTTAAAATTGATCATCGATCCAGGTGTGTTATAATATGCGTACAGAATTACAACATAATTTCTGTAATGTACATGACAACAATCCGTTAACTTGATGGGCTTCCGGGAAAGCCTCCCAATTGCCAATGCCGTACATATGCCCTTTCTTTTAGCAGTCTTGTTTTATTGTAATAGACCATGATTTTTTTTTTATTTACAAGATTAATTTGGTCTTATTTGTTGACTGCATGTCTTGTTGGACATTGCGTAACCGCAGACGGTGCGTCATTTTGTTTTGTGAGGGTGTATAGTCAATAGTAATCGCTTACTGAGGGAAGTACTCGGAACCGGAAGTGCGACGCCAGAAATTTTTTTTGCTTACATTACTTTGATCAAATTAAGTAACCTTCAAGCCGTCAGCCATCTGACTATAGATTTAATACAAATCTCCTTGAATGTGCAGGAACTACTTGGCCAACGATACGACCTGTTATGACGGTTTTGCTCCACAGTGACGATTATACTATAGTAATTCGGTCCCTAGCCTCTTTTGGCCGAAGATCAAGCCAATGCAAAGAGTATCACAAGCGTTGACAAAGCATAGCTTCCGCCGAGAAATTCCGGGTCAATTTGGCCAATAACAGTCTTGTTTAACAGCAATATTCGTGGTTGTCGCTTAGGATATGCCAAGATTCCGGCAACTGACGTCGCCAAGACATGGCTGAATTTCGATCAAATCCTACAGTGACCAAATTACATATTCTAACACAAGTTTTTTTTGTGGAAAAACCTGTGAACAATAACTTTTTTGATGACTAAATATTGTGCACAATGCCGGTGCCTTAAAGTAAAAAATATGGCAAATGTGTTTTTTAACTGTAACCTTGACTTGTACCTTGTCTCCTCAAAGCCCGATAATTGTAAACCGACATTTCCCCAGTTACGACAAAAACAAAAACCATGCATCTTTCTGCTTTCAGCAATGATTCTTTGGTCTTGCTTTCTTCAGCCTTTTCGTACTGTTGCAATGTCGTTGAAAAAGGTTAAGTCTCAAACTACAATTTTAGTTTCGTCCACTTCCTTAATGAATTTATATGGTCTTAACGTTTTCATTGTTCACTTGAAGCGGAATTACGAAACTCTTACTCATTGTTTCGTGGGTTACTTCAAAGAATGTTGAACCGTACGGTCCTATATAAGGGTTGTTACAAAAGAAGATTGAATTGTATTTGGAGTTATAAGATTATGGTTGAAAGATCGGCCCAAGCCAAATTACATTCTACAATAATGAATTGGAGTGAAGGAAGCATACATACATATATAAACGATCTGTGGTATTTGTTGCCAGTGGCTTCCTTGTTCGACGTCCGGCATAGCGAACATTGAGGGTCATAAGAGATTTTTGCCGTTTATTTTATATTTTTTGAAAGATAGTAGGCTTCTTTTTTTGATTTTGGCCTGTGGTTTTAATTTTTGGGACCATCGAAAAGCCTTGCTAGATGGTTTACTGTACCTCCGGTTGTTAGCTACAAAGTTAGACATCTTGTCACTATTTTATTGCCGGAGAAATGGCAGAAGTTGCTGCTTAATTAGTCAGTCGAATATTGAACACAAATTGATGACCGTAATTCCAATTGGCCTTTACCAAATTTTACTTGGTCATAATGCCGAGCCCAAGGTGACTGCTATAACTTTGAAATATAATTTTTCTTAACATGTAAGGGGCATGACTGTCACTCTTTTTTGACAGATATCTTGAAGAGTTTTTTGATGTCGATACGGAGTCTACTGGATCTGATAGGTCTCTTGATTTCCACAAGAAGAGAATCTTCGACTGAGACTGAAAAAAAACCTAGTGTCCTCGCAAAGGGCTTGTAAAAATCTCTAATTACATATGTACATATGTAAAGCATACTTAACCTTTTACTGTGTGCACTTCGCTTCCGGAATTATTACATTTCACGATATTGCAAAACAGAACTCCTTTGGTTCCTTATTGACCCTATTTGCCTCCTTCGATATTTACAACTTGCCACGTCCGAAATGACTATGTCGTCAAAAAATGAGTAATTAGGAAAATTTAGAATTAATTCGAGCCCTGCGGGCAGGTGGTTGGGCTGTAATTGAACCTTTCTCAATCCGATTATTTGGGCTGTGATGCGAAACGACGTTCCCTCGATTAATGTAGCTAGCTGTAAATGGTGCTCGCTGAAGCTGTGACTCTTCTCAAGTACACTTATGGAATTCCATTCTGGTTTTTGTATCTGAAAGTGGTGCTGATCTTGCGGCGGCGTTCGCAAGTCGAATTCAACACCGTCTTCTACAGGATCGTTTATTACACGGGTATCAGCGTAAGTTTTTTTTGTCATCATCGCTTATTTTGTATTTTTTTTGGCGTATTCTGAATTTTCTTGAGTTTTCTTTTGATTGGATATTTAAAGCAAAAGCAATGAATAGACAGCTGGAAAAGCGTATTCATAGGAAGAATTTAAAATTAGGAATGGAACTATGATTCCAGCAAGAAGCCAGTCCAGAGAGCTGAATGGCAAACGTTTGTTTTGAAAATGTCTGCCACCATTTTTGAGAAGGTATTAAAATTCACAATTTGGAGTCTGTATTTAATAATCTTAATAATAGAACACCGAAAGCTTGGAAGTAATGAAACGGCTACAACTGAACTTATCCTTGAAAAAATTGTGGTCTTTCTTGGTCCGGCCAATATTATTTTTTTCTTCGGAAATACATACATATGTTTCTCTGACCTGCGGCAAGCATGACCAAATATGGGTACACTTTTTCTTGCCGACTGCCACATTCATTTTTTTATGATTTAGCTAGACTTCTAATTCCGCTCTCTCAATCCTGCAAGCCAGCATGAAACCAGACTATACTGTTCACACGTATAGCTGCGAGCAGCACTTATAGAGCAAACCTGTTAGAGTAATTACCGTTCGTCCAAAAATTATAGTCTATGTAATGCAAGCGAACTCTTCCAAAGTATACCAAAGAAATTCAATTCCACTAAATGCATGTACTTTCGGGCAAATACTGTATTTCTGACCACCCTATAGCTCGGTTGTTAATGCAACTACACGTTCCAAACTTCAGCTGCCGAATTAAGAAGAGCTGCAAAACATTTGGCATAAAGGATTTTTTATAAGAACATTTAATTACTTGTTTTACTACACAGGGGACTCGGATTTACTTATAAGTAAAATTTTTTACTTATATTTACCAATAACTTACATATAAGTTAAAAAAGGCGGGGCTTATTTATTTTTACTTATATTTACGTTTATTTACTTATATTTACAAATAGCGGTACTTATATGTAAAAAACGGCGGAGCTCGTTTATTTTTACTTATATGTACATATATGAGCCTCGAAAAGAAAACTTTTGAGCGTCAAAGACGCTTTTTGGTTTCTGCACGCGTTGGCCGGACTTGGAAAAATTCTAAGTTTTTGGAGCGTCAAAGAACGTATCTCAACCTTGGATCGAATAAAGTAAGTTGTTTGTAGTCAGTTTTTTTCTTTTACAGGGTAACAGAGTGCTCAGATCAAAAGTTGCGAACGCGAGAACCTTCCCGAGCATGGAGCATGTCAACGTCAAACTTCACGCAGTTCGCAAAAATCTATGAACAAGCACTATGAGGAAAGAATTTGGATGAACAACTGTGTGCTCAAATGGTAGGTGTTTTTTAACTGTTTTCACATTTCATAAAACCAAAGATTTTTCCAGACATAGTTTTGCTATGTTGTACTAGGTCCAGGTGAAGCCTCTAGGTTTCAGATTATCGAAAAATTGGCCGTGGAGGGTAGTAAATGGACAATGTACACACGATCCCGGAAAAATGGCACTCGGATGATTCAGGTATGTTGAGAATATTCACCTGGACCTAGTGCAACATGACAAACTTGGTGTCTCGAAATTTCATTGGCAAACTTGGTGAACCTAAAACTAATTTTTTCGGGGTGCAGAAGCACAAACAATTGAGAAGGGCTTATAGTAAATATCGTCAAACGACCTTATCTTCTTTATTTTTGCTATTTTCAGTGAATCCAGACGCAGAAATCGCCATAGAAGATCCCGAAAATAAGCAATTGATGCCTCATGAGGACAACAACAGATGAGAAACCTATCCGGAGCACACAAGATGCGTTACCGACTTGTATTTGTCGTTTTTGAGAATCGAAATAAACGTTTATAATATAATCTGCACTGTGCGTAATTCTGGGTTACAAATAAGTAAAATATCCTTATTGGTAAATATAAGTAAAATATCCTTATTTGTAAATATAAGTAAATTCGGAGCGCGCCGAAAATAAAGTTTACATATAAGTAATTTCAGAATTACTTATATGTACAATTATTTACTTATATGTACGTTTATTTACTTATATGAACTTCAATTTCATATAAGTAAAAAAGACGTACATATAAGTAAATCCGAGTCCCCTGTGTATAGAATTATAGTATATATAATAAAATATTCAACTTCAGGATTGTGTTGGATTTTGGGTGAATCAAGCGATAAATCACTGGCCGAATGCCCCGTATATCAGTGAATTGTACTCCGAGATATTCACGGAAGAGACATACCTCATCTCTCCCATCTACCTCTTGACCTACTTCACTCTCTACACTACCGAATTCAGCGGGTTTTTGTTGGCATTGAACCGGTTCACGACGTTGTATTATCCGGCAAAGTCCGAGTTGGTAAGAGTAATTTTTACTTTATAAAAAACCTTTAAGTTATGGCGTCAACACTTCAAGAAGATATTGTTTCTATTCGTTACGATTCCTCTCAGCGTTTGTGTTCATCTTATCGTGTGCCCAGTCAAATTCGAATGTTCGGCCTACCGGGACTGTTATTTTGATGCTATCAACTTATTCTATATACCGGTAAGGAATTGTGTAGATTTTCTAAAAACGAAAGCCGTTGTGTAAATTTTCTAGATGCCGAAAAGTCGTTGGCGAAAACGTTTTCCGTCTTGCCTACTCTCCACTGTTTGTGTGTTCTCTCAAAAAAATTTTTAAATATTAGGGTGAACCAAAAAAAAATTCCGACTTTTTAAATAAAGATTTTTATATGAATGTATTATAAGATTCAAATGCTTTGAAACTTAACTGGTTTTCATTTGTTGTAAAATGACGTTTAAATTTTCATTAAAAAATCGAAAAATTTTTTTGGTTCACCCTAATATTTCAACTTGTGCCAAAAAGCAAATTCTTCATTATTATTGTGAGATTAGAGCTTAATTTTAACGTATTCAGGGTCGTATGCGGGTTCGTTCCTCAATCTTCAGTATCTCCTTCTCATTCCTCACCCTTATTCTCAACTTGTGGTCCATCTGTTCGTTGGCTCTTCTCCGTCGAAAATCGGACAAAGCCAACCGAAAACTTTTAATCTACACGGTCTCTGTGTTCCTGGTGATCTTGGTTTTGAGTATTGAACAGGTAAGCCTAGAGGTGGCAATCGGGCCGGGCCGGGCCGATTTTTGCGGCCCGGCCCGCGGGCCGAAGTGACCAGGCCGGCCCAGGGCTTTTTCAAATTTGCTCAGGCCCGGCCCGGCCCGGCCCGATGAAAGCCCAGGCCGGCCCGGCCCGGCCCGGTTTGGCCCGCTAATACAGAAAACTTGGATAAAGGTCTTTGCACTTTCTACTGGAAGTTCTTATGCTTTCCAGAAGGGTTTTACGTGTGTCTGCGCGAAATTAAATAGTCTAGTCGGATGACTGGAACATCCGTGCAGGTAGCTAAAACTTACAATTAGCCAAAAAGTTGGATTCTGTTAAATTTTTTAATCCTATAGGAAGTTAGCTATATAAAAGTATGGACGTTATAAGGTACATGGTTAACCAAAAACTGTTTAAACACTTTCATTTACATCAAGGAATCAAAATTACAGTGAAATTTTTAAATTTATCATAACAAAATTCGAAGATTTTTGCCCGACCCTTGCATATTTGGGTGGGATTTACATATACATAATAAGTTACATATACATATACATAATTTTAAAAAGTAGTAAAACAGCGTATAAGTCAAAACAGGTTTAATCTAATTTCCATCCATTCTACAAAGCATTTGTGCTTTATTTTGCTGGTTTAGCATTAAAAATTTTTTACTTATCTACCTTCCGGGCCGGGCCGGGCCGAAAGCGTCGGCCCGGCCCGCGGGCCGAAGCGGTCAGGCCGGCCCAGGGCTTTTTCAAATCTGCTCAAGCCCGGCCCGGCCCAATCACCGGGCCCGGCCGGGCCGGGCCGGGCCGGCCCAGCCCGATTGCCACCTCTAGGTAAGCCCGTTGCCCATGCATTTTCCTCCACGATTTTACAGCTTGTTTCCTTCCAGTGCACCTATTCGTACGAAGGCGTGGCGAAGACGCACAATCCGTACATCCAGGCGTTCATCAACACCTATGCCCATTTATACAATCTGACATTGCTCATGGGAGGGGTTCTCTTACTGCTGACGTCATCGCTGGTCCGCCGACACTTCTTCAAACGACGAAAGATGCATCGTTTCATTTTCACGGTGCTCAAAGGAAAGAATTCGCATAAAGGAACGGTCGTCTTTATCACAACTAATATTTCTGTTCATAGGAATTCGAACAGGGATATCAGTTGCTCCAATTTTAATATAAATTCCGCAATAAGGGGAAGAGAATAAACAGTAAATTTGATCAAGGAAATATTGATGTTATACTACAGTGGGGGAACTGATCCAGTAGCAAAAAACGTACCATTTTGCATCCGGGAAACATCAAAAATGTGGCAAAATGCTTCCTTCTCCAAGTAAAAAAGAACTTTGTTTTGAAAGGCGCGCCCTTTTCCTGACAAAAAGATCGGACGCGCTTTTGAAATCTGAGTTTTTTTACTTGGAGAGGGAAGCATTTTGCCACATTTTTGATACTTTCCGGATGCAAAATAGTACTTTTTTTGCCACTGGATCAGGTCCCCCACTGTAGGTAAATAGAGCCGGAAAGCGATCAAAAATAGCGTATAACTAGTTTCATCGCCTTAAAACAGAATCTTTGGAGCATAACATAAATTTAGAAGTAAGCGATTCAGTTTTAAAACTCTGTCAAACTTTCGTTTACAATTTTTTTTAATTTAAATTTGATGACCATTCTTTTTCTATCCAATTTTTTCTCTGTAGACCTTTAGAAGCCCTTTCAATCTCTCCGATTTACGTTTACAACGTGCTGCGCTTGCTGATAACAGCCATTTTGTTTACAAAAATGAACGATGATTACAGCAATTGGCTGATTTGTAGTTTGGGAAATTGCATGTAAAAAACTTTTTTTTTTATTTGATCTTTTTGCAAGTAAGGTCTGTAAATTAAATAAAACGTTCTATTCGTATAGTGGTATCGGCACAAAGACCACAAGATTTTCAAATCCAAAGATCTCGCAGTTTTCCGCAGGGGTGGTCGGCGGGCCGGCCGGCCTCAAAAATGGAAATTGACAAACGGGCCGGGCCGGGCCGGGCCGCGGGCCTGGGGTTTTTTCCGGCCCGGCCCGGCCCGTCTAAAATACAATGCCAAACCGTTGGCATTCATTGTTTTCGCGCCGGGAAAATTAATTGATGTTGTTATAGTTGCTGTTTCTCAAGTTCTAAAACGTTTACAAGTCTCTAGTTCCATTATAGAACCACAAAACTATCACATTGATCCTTTACTAGCTAGATCAACGCCTTTTTTGCCTCAGTTTAGATCCCGAGCCTGGGCGCAGTTCGCAGAACCCTCTATAGACGGGCCTGCACGGGCCGGGCCGGGCCGGGCCAGGCCCGTCACGGGCCGGGCCGGGCCGGGCCTGGAAAAAGACTAGACGGGCCGGGCCGGGCCGGTCAATTAGACGGGCCGGGCCGCGGGCCGAAAATCGGAAAAATAGGGTCTGCTGACCACCCCTGGTTTTCCGGAGGAGTGTAAGACTTGACACAATTCGGGTCAAGTCTTTTTCTCATTTTCAGAAATTCTATTTTTCTGATTTTCGAAGTGGCTCGGAAGTTTGTCCTTGATGCGATGGGACGTTGATCAGTCAAATTGAAATGCTTTTTGTACTCTCTTTATTAGCAGAAGACGGGGAACGGTCTTCCTGACTGTTCAGCACTCCGATTAGGGTTTATCAATCTTATTTCTTGCTGTAAACATCTTTCAAAGGCTTCATTCTATGATAAAAATGGTCATTTCTCAATTGATAATCATTTATGGTCCGAGTTGTGTCAGAATCCGTATCTTTTGAGGGTAAGAAAAAGGTTGATTCAAGAGCTTTATTTTTTTGGGCATGGGGAAGGTAAATTGAAAGCTATGGAAGTTTTTGGAAGCTGGAAATTTTTTTGATTCATTCTGATGTTTGATGAATTGTTTGATTTGAATCTTTGTTTGTGGTTTTTTTTCGCGAATTGACCGTTTTTGTGCTCAAATTTATCTTTATTTTTTCAGGGTAAAACAATGTCCGGTATTCGCAAAAAGTTTGTAAATGAGCCAGAGAATGTTGTAAATGATTCACTTAAGGGTCTTGTCCAGTCAGACAATCGGATTCAGTTCCATCCGGTGAGTAGTTATCTCATATTATAATTGATTGTTCTTTAGCAAAATCCTCGAGTCGTTCTCCGAAAAGATTATGAAGACCTGAAGTCGAATGGAAAGGTTACTTTAGGATGTGGAGGAGGCTCCGGACATGAACCTTTTGCTGCTGGTGAGTTTTTGAATATTTATTCTTGTTGGTTTAGATGGGGGTCAAGATGGATGAGTTTTGGTTTGTTTCCGGGATAGATATTAATGATTGAGATGTCGTGTTGAAATTCATGAATTTCAGGTTTGGTCGGGAAGAACTCTTTGACGGCAGCCATTGCGGGAGACGTCTTTGCCTCACCTCCTTCGTCCCATGTCAGTGATGCCCTCGAAGCCATTCAGGGAAAAGCCGGGTCTTTGATTTATGTTATCAATTACACAGGGGATCGTCTACACTTTGGAATGGCGATTGAGCGGTCGAAAGCCAAACTTGGACCAGATACAAAGGCTGATTTGGTTTACATTGACGACGATGTCGCCCTGGAAAACAAGCTTGGGGTGACGGTGGGTGGAAGAGGGTTGGCCGGGGCCTTGTTGGTCCTTCAAATCGCTGGAGTTCTGGCTGAAGACAGGAAAGCAAAATTTGAGGAAATTAGAGACATCAGCAGAGATGTTATTGCTAATATGGGTGAGTTCTTTCTTGTTTTTGAGGGAGTTTTTGTTGTTTATGGGCTCCCAAATTTTTTTGGGGGTTGTGATGGATTTTTGAGAGGGTTTGGAAGGATTAAGCATGCTGTAATTTTGTCCTTGGGCCTTTGTTACCAATAGGATGAAGAAGATACTAGGTTATGTTCGATTACGCTTACAAGGGAAGTACCCCAAGTGCGACACTCAGATTTTGATGAAACATGGCACAAATTTAAAATAATTTTTTCTAAAATGTATGCGAGAATACTAGCTCGCGCTTTGCAGAAACAGCCGAGATTTTTAGATCGAAAGCCGGCGAAAATTTGACACTTTTTCCGAATTCCGGCACGAAAAGTTTCATTTCTACCATAGAGGATAATGTTTTCGCAAAAAAAAAACAATTTTTTCCGCACAAAACTAGCAAAGTTATGGCCAAAAAGTGTTTTTTCAATTTTTAGTACCTTAGAACCCTTATTTTTGATTGTTTTTGCAGGCACCTTCGGAGTTTCCCTATATCCCTGCGCTCTGCCCGGAAAAGGCCTCATGTTCGATCTCCCAGCCGGTGAAATGGAGCTTGGACTCGGAATTCACGGAGAGCCTGGTGTGGAAAGGACAAAGCAGACAAGTGCCAAGGAAATTGTGGCAACAGTCTTGGAGAAACTGACGGCGTCGAAGAGACTTCAGCTCAAAAAGACGGACAAGTTGGCTGTATTGGTCAATAATCTGGGTGGGGTTAGCAATTTGGAGTTTGGCATTGTTCAGGGAGAGGTAGCCGCGTGGTTTGGTAAGTTTTCGAGTTTATTTTTATATTATACTTGATATCAATTTTAAAATTTTTATTTTTTTAGCTCAAAATGGCTACAAAATTGGCCGTTTCCTCACCGGAACCCTGATGACTTCTGTGGACGGTCATGGATTTAGCATCACTGTTCTGAGGTTGAAGAGCGATGACTGGGCTTCCCTTTTGGACACTCCTTCGCATATCTCGTCCTTGTGGAAGGCAACCACCCCTCAGGATGAAGTTGTGAAGCCGCCACAACACAGTCAGTTTGATGACAACACCAAGGTTGAATTGGTGGGGGCAAAGGTCGATGAAGGTGGGGTTATATTAAACTTGAATTATATTACACTTGACCAAGGTGGTCTTTTATGTTATTATGATGATTTCTTTAATTTCAGCGACTTCCAAGGCCATTGAAAAGTCGCTGAGGAAAGCGTGTGAAGAACTGATCAAGAACGAAGACCTGCTGAACCAGTTGGACTCAACTTGTGGTGATGGGGATTGCGGAAATGCCCTCAAGTCGGCTTCCAAAGGTAAGATTAGGATCTGGGACTTGAGGTTTGGATTTTTTATGGATCAATCTGCCTATGAAAAGTTAAATGCTCATATTATTTACAGCGATTCTCGAAGCCGCGGACCAGAAACGTCTCGCTTTCCAAAACCCCAAATCCCTTTGCCTCCAACTGTCGAAACTCTGCGAACACTCGGTCGGCGGAACATCGGGAGCCCTCTACGCCCTCTTCTTTGGAGCTGGATCCAGAGCATTCGAGTCGACCTTTGATTCCAAGTCTCTTCGCGAGGCCATCAAGCAAGGACTTGAAGCAATTTCGTATTATGGACATGCCAAACCAGGACACAGGACTCTCGTGGATCCATTGAGTGCCGCTGCGGAGGCCGCTGAGAACGCATCTTGGCCTGATTTGATCTCGGTAAGTTTGTTGGACATGTTTTTTGGAATTGAACTTGATTTTGGTTACGTTTGATGTTATATTAGGTTTTTTTTGAAGTTTCATCTCTTTTCGGTTCGTTTTTGTGTTTTTAGAGTGATGTGGAGACATGATTGATGTAATATATTTAGTTGTGGTATTTTTGAGACCTTCAATTTTTGCTTTCAGACTGTTGAGAAAGCCGCCGAGGCCACGGCCACCATGGAAGCCAAGAGTGGAAGGGCGTCGTATACCAACAAGGACCAGCAGAAGCAACCCGATCCCGGAGCAAAGGCTGTCGCCCTGTGGTTCAGAGCTGCCTTTGACGCCACCCAATAGACTTTTCATCCTCTCATCTAAATTTTTTTGAATTTTAGTTGCTGATCTGAATCAGATTACTTGTTGAAGATAAAGATAAGATTTCTAGCGATGCGGTTGATGTTTATGGCATTTGATGGGATATTCTGCGCTTGCAATGCAAGAAAGTTTAGTCAAATCACCCGCAATCAAGTAATGATTCTAATATTTTTTTGCTTTTCAGAACTGTCAAGGTGACTTGTCGTGTTCGCGAACTTTTACTTACAGGGGAAGTCTCCCCAAGTGCGACGTTCAGATTTTGATGAAACTTGGCACAAATTCAGAATAATTTTTTCTAAAATATATGCGAGAATCCTAGCTCGCGCTTTGCAGAAATAACCTAGATTTTTAAATCGAAAGTCGGCGAAGATTTGCCACTTTTAGCCGAATTTCGGCACCAAAAGCTTCGTGCCTATTTCTACCATAGAGGGCAATGTTTCCCCAAAAAATCAATTTTTTCCGCACGAAACTATAAGTTATGGCCAAAAAGTGTTTTTCTGTCTGACCGCTCTCCACGTTTTGCATGTTCTCTCGTCGGCAAAGATTGTTCGGTATCTCGGCGGCGCTTGCAAAGCGCGAGCTAAAACTTTCAGGAATTGATATTTAGTTGATGCCCGACATGTGTGCAAAATCTAAAGAAAATCTAAGAGTCGCACTTCGGGTACTTCCCCTGTTAGATCCGAACTTTTGATGAACGTTTATTCAATTTTATTTGTAATAGCCGCTGAAACGCTACACAAATAGTAATGAGGTATTCATTGCAAATATTATAATTCAGAGATTAGACCAGGGAGAATTAAAAAAGGCATCAATTGATATTCAATATCAACGTAACAACAGTATTCAACAACAACTCGACATGACTGTCAATAAATAGCTTCAAAAAAATATATATTTTGGCAAATAGGGTTACCACCATCCAGCAGTGGAATTGAAGTTATATCCGACCAAAGGGGCTTGCTCTTGCGATGGGAGTTCGTAAGAGGCGCATCGAGGCAACGGAGGGGGCGCTACAACAGCGCCGCAGTTGGAAAACGAAGCCGATGAGAAGTTCTCGCCCATTATGATTGTGGTGGGGATCTCAGATCTTTGGGCTGAAAACGAGAATTTTAGAGAAAAAATCGAAATTTCGTGTGTAATTTTATGTCAGAAAGAGGTGTAAGATCGTATTTAATGGCTAGTCCTTGTGCTCTACACAATCTAGAAGGCCTAGAAAGTATTTTTTTCTGTCCGATTTGGGCTTTGAAATAGCGATTTTTAAGAAAAAAACATGGGCTTATCATGAATAATGTTATACATTTTTGGCCAAAAATTAACTAAAAAAGTATTTCTTCGAGATAGTATTCAACTTTTTATAATTTTTACTATACTTAAAATATCCCAACAACTTCTTAAAACCCACTTACCATCGTTGGAGTAGAACATTTTTGCAGGAAAATCTCAAAAATTGGCTTTAAATCCGATGAATTTTAATAGTCAAAAGTACAACGAAAGCAAACTTTCGTTACTATAACAAGTAGTATGTCTCAGTGGAAGCGATTCAATGATTAGCCTTTGCCAAGATTTCTCGTCTTTTATATCAATTTTTGGGTTTATCTCCGTTCAAAGAATGTTCCAAAAATGGGCGGAGACTGATAAGGGAACGGCCTCCGGTGATTTCGTTGAAAGAAAAAACGGACCCGGGTTTTTGGAGGAGATTGTTATAAACAGATACCACAATAGCCCAATATAAACATGTTTATGACCGTCTGCAAAGATTTTATGAAGGTTTTTTTAAACATAATGGAACGTGTTCTAAAAATGACGCTTTTAATTTGATGGAATTGGCAAATTGAGATTACATAGAGCTTATAATCTTGAAAGAAGGGCCTGGAAAATTACATATGTAAGATCTGTGATCGTCTTGACTTAACTCAGACATAAGTCATCAAAAAAAATTCGTCATTTTTATTAAAACCAATGTCATTGCACCCGGTTTTGTGCGCATAATCTTTTAATTGTTCTAATGGGTTTCTAAGACCAAGTACGTCATTTTTTAGATAACTTCTTCTGTTATGTTTATGGTTGTGGCTCTCCCAAACTATAGATAATTCAGCAAAGTTTGTCGGAAGCTACTCAACTTCTGTCATCCCACAATGAGACTAGAACCAATTTGCGTGCATATCAAATACATCTTGAACTATTGCCATTGAAAAACCGTCGTTCCATAGCTTCTTGTTTATAGTATGGTCAAATCGAAAGAAAATAAGGATGTGCTCTTTCATCAATTTGTAAGGAGAATTTGAGAAATGTGTCAGTTTTGCCAATTTCGGCATGAAAACTGGCGCATTTATTTCTTGAGACTGGCACTGTTTCCACAAAAAAAATATTTTTTCCGCGCAAAACTATCAAATTTATGACTCACATTTTTTTCTCCGCGTTTTGCTTACCCTCTCGGCGGCAAAGATCGTTCAGTATCTGGGCTGAACGAGCTAAAACTTTCAGGAATTTATTACATGTGGCCTATGCTCAAAGTGTGTGCAACATTTAAAGAAAATCTAGGCCTAACACTTGGAGTATCTCCCCTTGTACGGACAATGTAAACTAGTGTGTATCCCAGTCCGATTACCTTTGAAATCAATCAAACTGTTCGTTCTTTACAGTTTGCACGGTGTGATTTATGTTTCTCGTCAATTCGTTTTAACGTTACTGCGTAGGGGGTTTTCCGAACCGTTCTTTAGTTTTGGTGACAGAGTTTAATGGTCAGAAAGTTCTTGAAATTGAACTTGTGGACATTTATACGTATTCAGCGAGGCTATCAGTAAAAAAATGGTATGCCTGAAGTACAGTTGTCATATCCGTTTGAATTTTTGTGTGCAATTACGAATGATAGACTATATAAAATTCCTGCGAGTTTTCGCTCACGGTATGTAACTCGTAGACGTTTTTAGCAAGCTTTTTGCGGGCTACAGAATTGTAATTTTCCTGTCCTGAGGTAAGGAAAACATGGCTAGGGCTGTCCAAGCCAGACGTTTATGAGTACGACAGAATTTTTATTATTCTCGCACTCAAAATGACATTCCAATTCATCCTGACAATCTTATCAATCTCTTTTTTCCATGAAATTCCTCTTTAAAAGTCTTAATGACCAATTAAGAAACTTTTGATAGCCTTTGTAATCTGCTTGCGACAATGTCCCCTCCGGGTGCAAAAGGTCTTTTCCAGCCGCCCAATTTTCCCACACCGTTCAAGGAACAAACTTGAGCGATAGGTGTTCTTTCTTTCAACGAAACCGCCTTAATTGATTTTGTTTTTCGACGAAAAATAAAGAATTTGGTGCAAAAGTTTGCCAGGTCAGCGTTATCGGGAGGAAAGGTTTTTATGACTACCAAAAAATTTCAGTGATAAACCCTTTTTTTTGTTCTGCGGAATGTTTGAGAGGGAAATTGCTAGAAACTTCGGAAAAAATGTGAAAAAATTGTATTTACAGTTAAATACGGCTGAAAATTCCTTATTTTTAGAATAAATTACAGTGGGGGACCTGGTCCAGTGGCAAAAAATGTACCATTTTGCATCAGGGAAGTGTCAAAAATGTGGCGCGCCCTTCAAAACAAAGTTTTTTCACTTGAAGAGGGATTTTGCCACATTTTTGATGCTTCCCGGATGCAAAATGGTAAGTTTTTTGCCACTGGATTCCATCATTGTATGCGATTTTTCCAGTTCTAAAATTTTTTTTATGAGCTTAAAATCGCAAATTCAGCAAAATACAAAGTTTTTTTGAGAGTTCATCGAAGGAAAACACTTTCAAATCTGCCTCTGTCTCATCTTCGAGTGGTTTCATTGAAGTGTGGATGCTAATACAAACTACAAAAAAAGTGTTGAGTAAGCAGATAAACAAGGCCTTTTGCACGTTGAATTGCAAGATTCAGGCAAGGGGTGACATTTAAATTTGGCGCTCTTTTTTCCTTACAAAGAATCTATTTAAAATTGCGCCAAGTTTCATCACAATCCGAGCATTGCACGCCAACCATGTGCTCAAACAACTAACATTTACAACGCAGGCCGTAACAGTATTCCATTTTGAAATCGTATACATTTTTTGTGCCGTTATCGCCTAACCCCTTCGCAATTCACATGAATCCAATGTTTGCATTACAAGCGCCTTTCCTCGCAAGCCGAGCTCAAAAAAAAGTCACGATTACTATGCAAACGAGCTGTTATCACAAGCTTGAGTCAAGACATTAACAAGCAAAATCTTTTACACAAAGAAATCGATATCAGTTATCACCGGAATAGTGGAATTAAGTCGTGAAAATTTGAGTTCTTAGCGATGCTCTGCAAACGTTCTAAACCGCTTAACAAAAGGCATTGTTCGATAAAAACAGATGGTTTGTTTACTGTTGATATGAAGATACGTGGAGAAGATTGTAACCGCAAACGCTCTATGAAGCTGACTGGAACTCACATGATTGGAGAGATGATTGACGTTGGAATTATTTATACATTTGTATGGTAAACAAGTTATATGATCGGCGAAGATCAGGCTACTCCAAAGAACGAAAAAGTTGACCACGTGTTGGAAAAGGCCGAAGAATGAGTGAAGAGATAAAAGTAGCAAAAAAGGTGTTCAAAGTGCAACTCAATAGGTGACGCTTTTCTATGAGAGATTTCTAGAGCACGCTTTTTAAAAACCACTGAGGTTCTATAATTTTTCGTGCCGGAGCGGAAACGCCATGAATAAGAACCATTGCCCGTATAGCGGACTCTCCGCCTTCTTGATGCTCTCTCGTAAAGATGATTGTTAAAGATGTTGGCTTCTTCTGAGCGAGAGTAAAGACGTGGATGTATGAAATACCCAGGACATCAAATTTTTACACCTGAAAGACCTTGTGTGCCAAGAGATCAGTGAACCGCACTTTTCAAAAAAAACGTGAGATTTATACTCCAAAAATTGCTGAAAATTTGAGGATTCTTGTGCAATTTTTTTGACAAAATTACAACTTCACTTTTACTGGAGAGGCTAAAAGATCCTACGAAATGCCGGTGGTTTATTAACCGTGAACTAAACAAAGCTATTGCCAAGGACGGTTTTTTGTGCCAGCTCTTCCTTACTGTAATGCAAAATGAAGCTAAAATTCGCATATGTGCCTCTGAAAGTTCCAAACTTAATTGGCATTGGTGTTCATTGAACTACATATTGGTGGAATTTAGAGGGCTTCCCCTCCATCGTTCATGATTTTATGTCTTATTTTTTTCTCTTGTTAAAGCCCCGTTCATTTTTTGACCTTGTTGTAAAATTTCTTCACGTTATTGTCTGCCCGCTACAAGTCTGCAACAACCCGTTTGATGACCTTGTAAACACCCTGTTACAACGAACGGTGTTATCTCCATTCCGTCAGAAAATAAACTTTATCCTTTTCTTTTCTTCATTCTTCGTTCTTCTCCCGTATCACCCCATTCAATTTCACATGTTCTGAACACGTTTTCACGTGCAGGAAAACGTGGAATCCGAAATCAAAAATTAGAGAGGTCTTTGCGGAACCTTGAATCCCAACAAATATTAATTTTGCGGAGAGGGGGCAATAACAAAGTAGTCATTACTCCCTAACTTATCTTATCAATCGGCTGAGAAGCGGAAAATTTTGGAAGTAGCTCTCAAAATTGGCAGTCTTGGACTTTGACGTAGATTTAAAATTGTAATCAGTGCTGAATTTGAGAAGCTAAATGTAAACAAGACAAAGTGTAAAAGTGTAAAAGTCGAAGATCGACAAAAAATTGGATTGCAAAGCACGGGGATTACCGCAAAATACAGTCAAAATACTGTAAAATAAATTGCAAAGAACGAAAAAAATTATGCGTTTTTGAAAGTCTCCGCTATAAAGAGGTATAATTTAGGCCTATAATTGAATCCTGTTTACTGTATGCAACCGTCGTTGTAGTTGCAAAGGATGTATTTTTTGCTGAATGTTGGATTGATCAGTAAAAAATGATAGGCAAAGATTGCCAGTGCTGGACCGGATGAAACTGACTTCATATTCTTGAGACTTTGCGGCAGATTGAAATGCCAAGTTTTACAGTGAGGGACCTGATCCAGTGGCAAAAAGCGTATCATTTTGCATCCGGGAAGTATCAAAAATGTGGCAAAATGTCTCCCTTTCCAACTAAAAAAACTCCGTTTTGAACTGCACGCCCTTTGCCTCACAAAAAGAGTGGACGCGCTTTTGAAATCGCATTTTTTCACTTGGAGAGGGAGGTATCTTGTTGCATTTTTGATACTTCATGGTGCGTTTTTGGCCAATGGATCAGGTCCACCACTGTAGTCAGATCCATAAATCAAAGTTCGAGGAGGATCACTTGTCCTATTTTTCCTTTGCTACAAGCCGACACTGCAACAGTCCATCTGTAAAGTCGCTGGAATGATTCTTGCGACATGCGCTGTAATCAGT